TTCCTGATTTGTTTGTTGATATTTCCTAATGTCTTCTAAGGAGTAGGTCATTATCTTTAATTCTATTTTGGTGGTTTCCTAGGCCGTGACTATTTTGTTGGCAAAATGCCTCCATTTTTGACCCAAGTTCCTATTGCTTTTGTCTATGACCACACTTACACAGTGTAAGAGATGAGGGTCTGATTCTTGGGTCGGGAAGACGCCCTGGAGAAGGGCATGGCAAGCCACTCCTGTATTCTTGCCTGGAGAATCCCGTGGACAGAGGAGCCTGGCGGGCTACAGTCCATGGGGTCACGAAGAATTGGACATGACTGAAGCGACTTAGCATGCACGCACACTTTCACAAGATATATGTATATTATAGAGGAAAGCTGTGAATATGTACCTCATCTCATCTCTGGCTTCCTAACAGACACTGTGCTGAGGGCTTTGCTTGGATTGTCTCCCTAATCCAGACCACACTCTGCAGAGCTGTGAGGAGCTGTTCTGGCCTCTCTTTGCAGATGCGAAACTGAGGCTCAGAGAGCCAGGAAGCGTTCCTAGCCACACACCTAAGGAAGGATGCTGTTGGTATTCATTCTAAGTGTGACTTCAGGGTTCAGACCCTGAATCACTCTGTTGTTACATTCGTGGTTTCCAGTTGGGGATTTACAATAAAATATCTTTAGAAATGGCAACCCACTCCTATATTCTTGCCTGGGAAGTCCCATGGACAGAAGAGCCTGGCGGGCTACATACAGTCCATGAAGTTGCAAAGAGTTGGACACGACTGAGCGACTGAGCATGCATACATCTTTAGAACGTTGGCTCTCAAACTTGGCTGCACTTTGGAATCACTTGGGAGTTTAAAAAAATTACAACTGGTAGCTGGATCCCACCCTCTTATGTTCTGAGTTCATCAGTGTGGAGAGTGGCCTTGACATTGGAATTTTTTAAAGTCTCCCAGGTGATTTTATTTTTTATTTTATTTTATTTTTTTTTCATTTATTTTTATTAGTTGGAGGCTAATTACTTTACAGTATTGTAGTGGTTTTGTCATACATTGACATGAATCAGCCAGGAATTTACATGTATTCCCCATCCCGATCCCCCCTCCCACCTCCCTCTCTACCCGATCCCTCTGGGTCTTCCCAGTGCACCAGGCCCGAGCACTTGTCTCATGTACCCGACCTCCCAGGTGATTTTAAAATACGGCCAAGTTTGAAAAATCCTCCTTTGAAACACTGCAAAGTTTTAAATTCCTGTTCTAATGTTAGTAAAAAAAATTAAAGAATGTTTTTATGACTGAAATACTACATATTTGCTTTAGAAACCACAGACAAACCAAAACAAAATATTTAAATTATCTACAGTTCTTTCACTGAAAGATGACCAATACAGTTAATTTTTTTTTCCTGTTCATATATTTAAAGTCTTTAACTATAATGTTACTCTTTTATATAATTTTATATATTAATGCCAGATTGTTTTATATCTGTTTTTTATGTTTACATGCTTTCCTGGACTGAGAAATTCTTGATCCTTTTACAACATAATCATGGTGTTGGATTAACCCTTATAGGCCAGTAACCATCAAAGTGAAAGAGTATCTCTGTTTCTGCAGAGTTTGTGTTTTATTCGAGGTAGCTCTTAGAAAACTAATTTAGATATCTTTCCTTTTTAAAAAAATTTTATTGGATTGTAGTTGATTTACAGTGTTGTGTTAGTTCAGGTATAAGCAAGGTGATTCAGTTATATCTATATCCCTCTCTCTCTATATATATATATATTCATTCTTTTTCATATTCTTTTCACACATAGGTTATCACAGAATTTTGAGTAGGGTTCCCTGTGCTGTTCACTAGGTATTTGTTGGTTATGTATCTTATGCATAGTAGTGTTAGATGTCTTTCCTTTGTACTGCAGGGATCGAACCCATGTCTCCTCATTGGCAGGTGAGTTCTTTACTGGTGAGCCACCGGCGAAGCTGGGGATGCCTTAGAATAGGTAAAGTGCAAATCCCGCAATAAAGGGAAAACGTCCACTAGTTCCGGAAACATCCCAGCTTTGGCCCCCAGTAGGGCTTCCCCGATGACTTAGTGGGTAAAGAATCTGCCTTCCAAAACAGGAGACACAGGTTCGATTCCTGGGTCAGGAAGATCCCCTGGAGAGGGAAATGGCAACCCACGCCAGTATCCTTGCCTGGGAAATCCCGTGGACGGGAGGAGCCTGGTGGGCTGCAGTCCATGGGGTCGCAAAGAGTCGGACACGACTGAGTGAGCACCCGCAAACTTAGTCTTCCCTGGGAATGGCCCCTCTTCCATCCTTCCATCTCCCCACCCTACTCCCTTGTCTGTTGTAATAAAAAGGCTTTCAGAGTAGAACTCAGTAATTTTCAGAGTTTGCTGCTTCTCAGATATTTTCCTAATAAAGATTTGGATGAAGGACTGCTGCAGTTTAGTGGGGTTTGGTGACGATGCAACCAGAGCCCATCAGTCAGCAGCTGTGACTATCAGGTCACATTCTTTTCCTCCTCTTCTCAGTGATGAGGAAGAATTTCAGCTAAAGGTCGGGAGAAGACTCGTGCTTTGGAGGATGGATGAGGGATTAACCCACAGGGGAAAGGGGCAATCCGGGAGGTGTCACAGGTTTGCCTGCTGAACCGGTCTTGTCTTCTGTTCATCCCAGCCGGTTCTGGGCTGCCCCCTGAGGTATTTTTGGTCCTGCAGCTGCAAATGAGATCTCTCTGCATTTCTTGATTTATGGAGGATTTCCTTTTTCTGGATCAACATCTTAACTTGATAATCAATAGATCTCTTAATCACAAGGCTTGTAAATCACAATTATTTATAATTTCTGTATGGCTCAAAAAATCTTATATTTTAAGAATATATTATGATCTTTACTGGTTTATTATTGCCCATTTTAGAATGAATTTTTTTAAAAAAGGAGAATTTGAAAATGTTAACATTTTACTTTGTGAATGCATGAAGTACGTGCATGATTTATGTTGCCGAAATCCTTCAGCACTGAGGCATTTATGTAGTTGCAAAAACTCCAAGAAAAATTAGAAGCTATTTCTCCATCTTTCTTTAACCTCTTCACATAGAATTCACAATGGCTTTTAAAGAATATAAAGCCATTAAAGATAGTTAAAACCATCAGATGTCTTGCTTTACTAAGAAATTAACAACAACAACAAAAACAAAATGAAAGAATAAGATAGCAAGCCTGGTTTATTTACCTGTATAATATGTATCTCACTCACTCTAAGATCATAATGAAAGAGAAGGAATCCTTAAACTGACATCATATCATATAGCAGAAAAATTAAGTAAAGCATACAGGATATGATACTTATTTAAACACCAGATTTATTCAGTCAGTCCCATTGACACGCAGATATTTCTGGAGTGTTGTGCCAGTCACTGGAGCCAGGGTGTTTTATCATTTAATGGTACCTCTCTGCTGCACTTGATGAGCTGTCCTGGAAAAACATTTTGAAGCAATAAAGCATCCATTTGGCTCATAAGTAATGAGGGAGGCATTGCTCTTTGCATTAACTATTTATTGAGAAAGAGGAGTGACCAATTGCTAATAAGCTTTATCCAGAGAGCATAGTGGAAAACAGAAGAAAAGTGAGGTTCTGTTCAATTTCACATGCAATTAGCAAATACTCAGTGCTGAATGGTTCGTGCTCCCCACCCATGTGACTTCTGGCCAGCTGTATTTAAGCACGAGTGCCGGTGCAGAGTACTAAAGTCCCCTTGGTCTGCGGAAGGATTGTTAGCCTTAACTAATGATGGTTAAGAGGAGGCAATAGGCAGTGACCGGTGAGTAACTACAACTGTGCTGAGCTCTGTAGCTTTGAGTAAAGGACTTATTTCCTAAGAATAGCTGTAGTGATTGAGGCTTGCCAGTTTACTCCTTTGGAGAAATGCTCCGTGTTTGTTTGTTTGTTTTTAATATAATTATTACTTTTCCATAACTTGGGAAATCTGCTCTCTAATGCAATATGTAGATTATCACTCAGTCAAATGGCTTTTAACCTGAGAAAATTTTTTGTTTGCTCTATAAATAAATATATAATTTATTATTCAGAATTAGTTTCCAGGTAGTAATGTAACATTTTGTTTTTCTTTCACAAATAAATAAATGGTCCCTTCTTTCTGTAAATGCTTAGGGTGTAACAACTTCAAGATTACAACCAGAGTATTGTATTCACACATAAATAGTGGCTGGTTTCAAATCATTTCAGAATTTTATACCTTAAAGAATCTTACTTTTGGTAGTAAAAGAGCATGAAATTTTTATTCCTCTTGCTTTAAGATTCTTGGTGTAATGAATTTGCCTTCTTTAGTAACATGAGAAAAAAGATGAAAGTCATAATTATTTTCTTCTCTTAAAGCTAACTAAAGCACTTGCATGCTAATTCCTCTTCCCTGCTCTCACTAAAAAGTAGTACAGTGGAGTTCCACACAATAGGAAGAAAAATTCATCACATAAATCATATTACAATAGGCCATGGGAAGGATGTGTAAAACCCAACATTACTTAAAACAGAATAGTCTTGAAACTGTAATGAACCCATTATGAAATCATTTAATATTACATTCCTTTAATTTTCTAATTTAAAAGATTTTCATATTGAAAAATGTATTCTAGGCTCACTGTGAATTATTTTGAAGTATATTTTAAATTAAGTTTCAAGATATATTCCATGAAATAAGAATACTCTTGCTCATTTGAGTTCACAGGCTTGGGTATAGGACTGAAAAGCCTGATGAGTGAATAGCAATGAGATAAAAAACCGGAAAAGATTCGTCCGAATGTGTCTTTCCTAGAAACATTCTGTACCACAGTGAGAACTAAATCCGTTTACATTATAGGGAATCATACTTTCTTCATCAAGGAAGTAAGGACTCAAAGGTTAGAAACAGAATCACCTCTCAAGATGTTAGGTCTTGTAATAACCTCTTTGTTGCCTGTTAGCAATCGTTAGGTTGAATTCTCCCTTTCAGATAATCACTCCATTTAGAAGACTAATGCTGTGCGCTGAGAATAGGAAAGAGATGGAGGATTGGATCAGCTCACTGAAGTCTGTACAGACCAGAGAACCTTACGAGGTAAAGTAGCATCTCTCTTGTCCTCTTGTGCTCTTAGAGAGTAAATGTGAACCGTAATGCTACAGCTATACTCTGTGGGGGGAAAAAAAGTATGTGTAGATTCATTCAGCAATCTGTTTAAACCTGATATAGTTTTGTTTTGGTTTTTTTTTTAGCTAAAGCAAAGGGTTTTAGTTTTAAAAAGAATGGATTTGAAATTTCGATCATCATTTGGTACCTTCTGAATGTAGTCCTGTTCTCTCGTTTGGCAAACCTACACTGACGTCTCGTTTCCAGGTGGCCCAGTTTAACGTGGAACATTTCTCAGGGATGCATAACTGGTACGCGTGCTCCCACGCCCGACCCACTTTCTGCAACGTGTGCCGAGAAAGTCTTTCTGGAGTCACCTCCCATGGCCTGTCCTGCGAAGGTACAGTAGCATCCAGGGTGTGTCCTCCCTCGACGCTGTCCTTACAGTAAACATGCCGCCGCCGGTACCTCTGTGAGCAGAGAATCAGCGTCGCAGCAAGACATTGCCCTTGGGTGGAAGCAGTAAGTGGCAGCCTCTCGGGGGACCAGAGTGTTGTCCTTATACTGAGGCTTCAAGCCGAGCTCTGCCCGGATACGAACGACTTAGAACATAGTTGAGCTTAGGAAAAGATAACATAAAATCATCTGAAGGAGGAAGTGTCAACCCACTCCAGTATTCTTGCCTGAAAAATCCCATGGACAGAGGAGCCTGGTGGGCTCTGGTCCAAAGAGCCGCAAAGAGTAGGACACGACTGAGCGAGTGAGCATACACGCGTAAATCAAAACATGGCATTTCCTTCCTCAGGAACTAGCATCTACTGGTAAAGAAAATTCTGTAGACTGTATATCGTTCTCACCTCCCAGCATTCTTTTTCTGTTCTGTTTGATTATAGAGGACAAAACTTTCTGGTGGACATTATACACTCTTTTGGCAGAATTTCCGATGGTTACTTATACTATATCATTTTAAATGTTTTATTTCATTTGTGTTTAATATAAATGGGGCTTCCCTGGTGGCTCAGATGCTAAAGAACTTGCCTGCAAAGCAGGAGACTTGGGTTCGATCCCTGGATCAGGAAGATCCTCTGGAGAAGGGAATGGAAACCCACTCCTGTATTCTTGCCTGGAGAATCCCAGGGACAGAAGTTGGCTGACTACAGTCCATTGGGTTACAAAGAGTTGGACATGAATGAGCGACTAACACACACACCTTTTAAATTTCTTCAAAGTTTTCTAAAAATAAGGTCTCTGCTGTTATTCTCATCACAGGATTTGTGGGTTATTTTTAAATTTAAGAGAAGTGACCACTTAATATCACCAGGAGAAAACTCATACCACTTTTGATTTATTTAATTGCTCAGCAGTTTCATCACTGTGTACTTCTTTTTAAACTGCATGTAATACTACTATTAGCTTTTTTCTCTTAATACAAAAAATTCTTAGGTAATTTTGTAATATAACTGTATTACAATTAAATAATAAATTAGAAATAGAGTCACAGTTTTAACTCATTTTGAATTATAAAATCCAAGATACATCAGTATTTCAGCTATTTAACATGACCCATTAACTCTATTCTTAGTGCGTAAGAATAGAGTTCTGTAGTTAAACTCTGTGGGTTCAGATTCCAGTTTCAATACTAGAAACTATGACCAGGACTGGTTTAACCCTTTTAGATTTTTGCTTCCTCCTCTCTAAAATAGGGATAATAGTCATTTATACTATAAAAATGAAATAAGAGAATGCATACAATGATGCTATTTTTCTAGTCAGATAAATTGTAGACATTTTTGGTGAGTTGTATAAGAAATTCATCAAGCAATTACAGATTGCTTGATGCATTACATGCCTGATGCATTAAAATTCATGAAAATGAGAATTTGGAGGAGACATAAATATTTTTTTTAGATTTAACAAATGATTGAAATCGAAGACATAATTAGTCTTTCTGACTTTAGTGATTATATATGGAGATATTCTAAAGGTCTTTGTACAATTACCTTGGTGGTGGTTTAGTAACTAGGTCATGTCCAACTCTTGTGACCCCGTGGGCTGTAGTCTGCCAGGTTCCTCTGTCCATGGCATTCTCCAGGCAAGAATACTGGAGTGGGTTGACATTTCCTTCTCCAGAGAATCTTCCCAACCCAGGAATTGAACCCAGGTCTCCTGCATTGCAGGCAGATTCTTTACCAACTGAGCTATGAGGGAAGCCCCCCTACAGTTACGTTATAGTCTATTATTCCTCAAACTGCTAAAAAGAAATCAAATCTGGTAGTATCTTAGATACTGTTAGAACTGATCTGTGGTACCCTTCTGATCTGAGAGTTATGCATTATTAAATATATTTAATTGTAAAGGAGTTGAACTTAACAGTGAGATGACTGAATATTTTTCTAAGCATTTTAAAAGAAAAATGAAAATTACATTAGCTGGTGAGGATAAAAAACTTCCAAGTCTTTAAAAAGATGTGTTACATTATTCTATTGATAATTAAGTTTCTGATTTTTAAAGTCTCAGTTATAGCATTTTTAAATTATCTTTTAGAGGAATATATGTTAATATTCAATTTTGTTGTTGATACAAGTTTTAAATCTTGCCCATTAGTATATTTAGAACTCTAGCAGAAGATTTTAGAAATCCCAAGGGTTTTATCAATACCCAAAAAGGTTGCCTTTTATTTTGTGTCGTTTTATTGTTTAGTTGCTGAGTCATGTCTGACTCTTTTGTGACCCCTTGGACTGTAGCCCACCAGGCTCCTCTGTCCATGGGATTTCCCAGGCAAGAATACTGGAGTGGGTTGCCATTCCCTTCTCCAGGGGATCTTCCTGACCCAAGGATCAAACCCACCTCTCCTGCATTTTCAGGGGGATTCTCTACAATGAACCACTAGGGAAGCCTTTTTATTCTGTGAGACTGTAGTTATTTAGGATATGTTTATTGTAAACAAAGTTAAACTTTAAAAATCCCCTTGAAATCTGCATAAACTGCTTGTTTAGCGAAACTGAAGGCTTACAACACAAAAAATTTTTAAAGTTACAATAGAGGTGCAAATACAGGAAGAATTCATTCAATAATGACAATGAATAGTGTGTTATAATAGAATCCAGCTTACAGGGTGCAATACCAACACTATATTTACTTAGTCTTTCTGCCCCTTTTTCACAGTAAAAGGAGTCTGTACTGATTTGTATTCTAGGCTTGTGCTGAACAATAACTAAATTATCATTTTAAAGCCTTGCATATAGTCTATGAATGAAAAACAGAAGGCAGAAGATACATTTCACAGATAATTCCCTAAATCAATTGAGAATGTTAATTATAATTTCAGAGCATAATTGTGCTTCACACGTATTTAAACAGCACTCTAAGAATAAAAAGTTAGATGGTAATTCTTTTTAATCAACAGCATAAAATATCTCTATACGGGTATTTATGAATTTTTGTCTTAACGACTGTTGAACACTTAAAACTTGTTAAAGACTATATTGCAATAAAGAATCATAATTTTATTATAAGCCAGTATATTTTTTAAGTTCTGTGGTTTAAAATAATGGCTATTACAGGTCAGGAAAAAATGCTTCATTTCAGAATCACTCGTTTGGAGAAAATTGTCACCTACCAAATTAAGGTGCCTATTCCTCATGTCCATTCCTTAGTAACCGTAATTTCAGTCCAGTTTGTTTTATTTTAATCATTATGTGTTATATTAAACACCTTTGTGATTCTCAGTGCTCATTGCATGAAGAACTTTATTATTACAAAAGTGATTTTTATTTTTCATGAACTGTTTAATTTTTAATGGCAAAATCTTCAAAAAGCCATGAAATTAGACACTGTTGCCCTCTTTATATTACTTCCTTCTTTGTCTCTTAGACAACACATATTTGTACTCAGAAAAGAGTTTGCTTTTTTAAAATAAAACTAGAACCATTCTTTTGAGAAATAAAATAACAGATTGAGCCAGTTAAATAATTTAAAATACTAATGTAAAAGTCACTTGCCTTATAGCAAAAGGGAGCAGGTATCATGCTGAAATAACTTTTCAAACGAAGCTTACTTCCTGCATTGCTGTTTCTTTACATTACTGATTCTCAGCAATAAAGTTAAGTGGAAAATTTGTTTTCTATATGAAGTCTGTTCTTGAGTCACGAAGTCATTTATAACAAAAATATTATGATTTCCAGTAAAGAATTTGTCAGTGTACACGCAAGAGCAGGTAAATGTAACATTGCCTGTGTCTATATACTCATATTGTTTTTACGGAAAAACGGCTCAATTTAGGTGGCTATTTATATACTGGCTATTTATGATACCTGAAGCATTCTGAACATTTGGCTATATAGGCATCTTATTTATTTTACTTGACCTGTTTGTTTTCATGTTATATTAAATTAAGACAATTTAAAGAGAAGGGCACATAACCTGTTATTTCCAATTTGTTAATGGTTTACTGGTAAACATTCAAAAACCATGCTAAAAGGAGTCACCTTTTCATTTTGAATTTGCAGCAGATACCTTATTATGTTTCTACCAAAATGATCTATACTTTTAAATATTTCTCTGAAAAGTCAGAGACTTTATAACATCAGTATTCATTAGTGATTGGCTAAATGTATGTTAATGCGTGTCCTTGGTGGGCTTCCCTGGTGGTTCAATGGTAAAGAGTCTACCTGCAGTGCAGGGAACACAGGTTCCATCCCTGGGTTGGGAAGATCCTGTGGAGGAGGGCATGGCAACCCACTCCAGTATCCTTGCCTGGAGAATCCCGTGGACAGAGGAGCCTGGTGGGCTACAGTTCATGGGGTCGCAAAGAGTCCAACAGGACTGAGCAACTAATGAACAACATGTGTCCTTACAGGGATGGATAAGCTTAGTAGTAGTCAAGTTCTGATTTTCATAAGCAAGGTTTAATTTTTCAAATAATCTGTAGCTTATTTGTTCTTTTCACGTATGTGCTGCTTCTGTCTTGCTGTTTCCTCTTATTTCTCTTCTGTAGGTATCTTTCTGATAATATGGCTGGGAGCTTTAGTGATGCATGTAGTGGGAGTGTCACTTCATTATTCCTTTCTTCTGCATTATCATGTAGTCATCCCAACAGGATACTTTTAAAATCTTTTTTAAAAAGACATTATTTGTTTTCAATTGAAGGATATAGGACTTCCCTGTAGATCAAATGGTAAAGAATTTACCTGTGATTCAGGAGACCAAGTTCAATCTCTGGGTTGGGAAGTTCCTCTAGAGAAGGGAATGGCAACCCACTCCAGTATTCTTACCTGGAGAATTCCATGGATAGAGAAGCCTGGCCGGCTGCAGTCCATGGGGTCGCAAAGAGTCGGACGCGACTAACACACGTGCACTTGCTTTACAGTATTATATTAGTTTCTGCCAAACATCAGTATGAATCAGCCATAGATTTACCTGAGTCACCTCCCTCGAACCTGCCTCCCACCTCCCTCCCCATCCCACCCCTCTCAGTTGGTACCGAGTTCTGGTTTGAGTTCGCTGAGTCACACAGCAAATTCCCAATGGCTGTCTCTTTTACACGTGGTAATGTATGTTCCGTGTCACTGTCTCCTTGCATCCCACCCTCTCCTTACCCCCTGCCCCATGTACATAAGTCTGTTCTTTATGTCTGTGTCTCCATTGCTGCCTACAGATTATTTCATCAGTACCATCTTCCAAGATTCCATATTTTTGCATTAGTATACAATACTTGTTTTTCTCTTTTTTACTTACTCACTTCCAACAAGATATCTTTTAAAAAATATTTATTTGGCTGTACTGGGTCTTAGTTGTGCATGTGGGATCTAGTTCCTTGATCAGGGATTGAACCTGGGGACCCAGCATTGGGAGCACAGAGTCTTGGCCACTGGACCATCAGGGAAGTCCCAACGGGACACTTTTAAAAGATAGTGCCGTCTTTGTGACCCTCGTCAATGTATTTCCCATGATGCCTGGATATTTTCTTGACGTACTTGGACTTTCAAATTCCCCTGAATTATCTTGTTCTTTATCTCTCTGGTATTTTCAAACTTTTTATTTAAGTGTAATATACGAACAGAAAAAAGAAAACATCAGAAGGGTACATAGTTTGTTGAATTTTCACAAATTAAATGCTTTTATGTAATCAGCACCCAGACTTAGAAATTGGATGTTACCAGAACTCCTGTATAACTGAATTTTATCTTCTTAAGTGTGTGTGTGTGTGTGTGCGTGCACGCGTGTCATCTCCTTTCTCAATAATTAATTCTTTTAGTATTTATTTCCTTTCTTCTCTTAGGAGTAAGTGAAATCTCTCTAAGTAGCAGTCTGTAGCTTGATCAAAATGCTTCATAAGCACATAATCATATTTGCTTTTTATTTATTTATTTATTTTAAAAATTTTTTTTATTAGTTGGAGGCTAATTACTTTACAATATTGTAGTGGGTTTTGTCATACATTGACATGAATCAGCCATGGATTTACATATGTTCCCCATCCCGATCCCCCCTCCCACCTCCCTCTCCGCCCGATCCCTCTGGTCTTCCCAGTGCATATTTGCTTTTTAGAATATCGATTGTTATTGAAGAGTAAGAAGCTTTTAAAAATATTGTCTTTCTTCTACTCATGCCCCCCACTCCTTTGTAATTTCATGCTGTGATTTCCTTTCATTGTTGGTCCAAAAGTACATATTCACTTAGCAACGGTTGGCTTTTTTCTTTAGTGTGTAAATTCAAGGCTCACAAACGGTGTGCAGTGAGGGCAACAAACAACTGCAAGTGGACAACCCTGGCCTCCATCGGGAAGGACATCATCGAGAACGAGGATGGGGTAAGCTCCTTTCATCTCCGCTCTCTCCCAGGTCCCCCCACTCCTTTATTCTCTGCTCCCGTGGAAATTAAGTGGGAGCCATCTAATTAGTTAAATTGCAACAGGAAGTTAAGAGGAAGTGTTGATTGTTAGGATTGGATGGAAAGTTTGGGTGGATTGTGACTTTTTATTTTCAATCCAATCCTTCGTAGCTTCTTTCAGCTCTTAAATTTTAAGGGGATTGGTGTGTAAGGGCTTAGGAGGGGTTGTTGGGCTGGGCTGATGTTGTAGACCCTTATCTGGCCGACTAAGGTACTGTTTAAGGCTCAGCTCAGCTGGATGCTCAGACATTCGCTCCTCAGACTTCGGGGCCTGCGCCCCCCACGTTCAAAACCTTATCTCCCTTGCATGCAAATCTCTGATGCCCCTTCCTGGTCACTTTATGATAATCCCTCTCTGTGCTCAGCGAGAATACAAATCCTGCGGGGTAAGGGTTTAGTCTTATTTTTGTATCCCTATGTGCTTGGGCATAATAGATGCTCATTAAAAGTGGGGGAAAGGAACGCATGCCAGGAATGACACATGTTGCTGATTCCATAGAGTAAGAACTCATTGTATCTCTCCCCTGGGCTGAGAATGATGTCCTCCGTGGTCTTTAACTTGACTGCCCTTTCTTCCTGCTGTGTAGGTGGCCATGCCTCACCAGTGGCTCGAGGGTAACTTGCCCGTGAGCGCCAAGTGTGCTGTCTGCGACAAAACGTGTGGCAGTGTTCTCCGTCTTCAAGATTGGAGATGCCTTTGGTGTAGAACGATGGTGAGAGTTTTACAGATATTTTCCATTAAGAGAAATGTTTCTTCCTGTATCTTCATCTATGTGATTTAGAGACAAAGCTAAGAATTTATGGCGGAGCGCAGCCTGGTAGTACACGCACCCGTTTTGGTGGTGGTGGTTTAGTCGCTTAATCGTGTCTGACTCTTGTGACCCCGTGGACTGTAGCCTGCCAGGCTCCTCTGTCCATGGGATTTCCCAGGCAAGAATACTGGAGTGGGTTGCCATTTCCTCCTCCAGGGATCTTCCTGACCCAGGGATGGAACCCATGTCTCCTACATTGTAGGTGGTCTCTTGCATTGCAGGCATTCTCCTGCATTTCTTTACCAGCTGAGCTACCAGGGAAGCCCATTTTAAGGTGCAACTTTTTCAAAGTGTATTCCTTCCACTCTGGGTACTTCTGCACGTGCCCTGTTTATGACACCTATTCTTGTTATATATTTCTTTTATCTGAGGACCTCTTTCCCACAGTCTTACTGTTTTTCATCAAGCTTCAGCCACATCTAGTGGTTTGCTATTTTCAGCCTGTTTTAACACCTGTTGCTGACAGAAAGCCACCAGATTTTGACTGACAAGCAAGGTGTGGGTTTGCTACAACCTCATGCGTTTTCTCTTGACAGAAGCTGAATTCAGTAGGCCCTGCACTGATAGAATTTAAGTTGTATGCATTTATGTTTTAGAAATGAGTAAATATTTAAAATCTTCTTTGCACATGCAAGCAAGTGGTGGGAAGCAGATTCAGCGTGGCATGGAGCCCACGGCAAGGAATTCCCCCACCTCTGACAGACTGCGTGAGGACTGGGCCTCCAGGCTGCAGGAGGGTGGTCTGAGCAGGAGCTCAGGGTGACCTCACGGCCCTCAGAGGGTGACGTGGGGCCAAAAGACGGCGGGGTGAGGAGGCAGTGTGCGCCCACCTGAGCACTGGGCCATGCTGTCCCACTTGGGTGCTGATTGCCTTGCATGGAGGCTGAGTTGTTTGGTCATGTTTTGAGTCTTGGAAGTCACCCCCTCCCCCCAAGAAGAAAAGATGGGAAACCATTGCTCTCAGTAAGTATGTTGAAGTGACTTCCGTGGTGGTTCAGTGGTTAAGAGTCTATACTTCCACTGGAGAGGTGAGAGTTCAATCCCTGGTCCAGGAACTAAAATCTTTTCATGATGTGGCCAAAAAATTAAAATTAAAATAAAAAATAGTGTTAGTAAAAATTTTAAAAATACTGTTGATTTGAAGATGAGTGAATGCAAGAGGTCTGCGTATGATGTCTTGATTTTGTAACCAATGAAATTGATTCCATGGGCCACGGAGGAAAAATAACTCCCATGACTTATTTTTAGTCAGGACTGATAGGTTATCTTGTGTTCCTTTTTGGTCTTTGAATCAAACATGATTCTCCCTTTTTTTTTTTCATTTATTTTTATTAGTTGGAGGCTAATTACTTTACAGTATTGTAGTGGTTTTTGCCATACATTGACATGAATCAGCCATGGATTTACATGTGTTCCCTATCCCAATCCCCCCTCCCACCTCCCTCTCCATCCCATCCCTCTGGGTCTTCCCAGTGCACCAGCCCCGAGCACTTGTCTCATGCATCCAGCCTGGGTTGGTAAACATGATTCTTCTGACCGCCATGATTTTGTTTTCCTTCATCAATTAGCTCTTTTATTGCCGTAGATGTTACTTTTTATTTTTTTTATCCCATTTAATATAATATACAGATTATATTAGATAATCTCTTTCTTTTTGGAGTTTTCACGCAACCCTAACCCTGAAAACATTCTTATGCCGTTCAAACCAGATTTTAAGTCAAGATTCCATCCCACCTAAGATTTCTTTTTTGGGGGGATAACTGCTGATGTATACCTCTACCACCGCTTTTATTAGTCTGCATTTGCTGAAGTCTATTTCTCTACTTCTGAAACTACAGCTGCTCTTTTTATAACTTTTTGAAAAGAAAGGAGATCATCTGTGTGATGATTCATTTTAGAAAGGTTTTATAAAAGTTGTCTTTACATGCAATATCTAGCACTCTACTTATCTTTAGTCAGCTATTATTTGTTTTTAATTGAAGTATGCTTGATTTACAGTGGTGTGTTAGTTTCAGGCGTACTGCACTGAGATTCAGTTATACATAAGTAAATATATACATATTTATATATATCTATTTTCAGATTCTTTTCCCTTATAGCTATTAGAAAATATTGAGTTGAGTTCCCTGTACTGTACAGTAGGTTCTTGTTGGTTATCTATTTTACATACAGTAGTGTGTATATGTTAATCCCAAACTCCTAATTTATCCTGCAGACATAGGAGATAAACTTACGGTAACCAAACAGGAAAGCTTGCTGTTATTCAGTCGCTCAGTCTCGTCTGAGTCGGTGATGCCATCCAACCATCTCATCCTCTGTTGCCACCTTTTCCATCCCTCTTAGTCTTGTACATCACATACACTATCATTGATCTGTTATGATATTATTTTGCCTTTAAATTATGAGTTTCTAACAGCAGAATATCTAGTGTCTAAACATAGTTATCTTGGTTCAAAACCAAACCAAGCCGTATTTCCACAACCTTAATGAATCAGCTCCTAAGTTTGCCAGCTGTTGTCTAGTTTGTGGACATAGTTTTACCTTTTTCATAAAAATAGTGAAGATATAGTTTTATTTCTGCTTGTTTCTTTTAACATTGTTATAATTTTTCTGTTTTATGATTCTCAAACAGTTTTCTTTTAAAACTGTGCATTCTCATTTTTCTAAAATCTGTATGGATTAATTATTATAAACCATATTAGGAAACTGTCCCAAATCAGGTCATCAGCAGAACAAAAATCACTATTAAATTTCAATTATTTTCTCAAAAGTTTTGATAAATATGTGTTTAACTGATATGCCAGTTTTCTAAAAGGACTAATGAAATAAAACCACATTAAATAAGTGCTTTATGAAGTGCCTGCTTTTACTGATAAAGCATTTAAAGGCTCTCTAGGTAGGTACATAAACTATTCTAAATTGCCTAGGTCCTACATTATTTGTTTGCCCTGCTTGAGTGACCTTGCACCTTTTCTTGCTACGGAGTTAAGACATCCGCTGAGTGCCGGTGATGTGGATCACTTCTCAAGATGAGTGGGCGATAGTAAGACCTTTCTCTTTTCCTTTCTGAGCCTGCAGTCTAGCTGAGAGAGTAGGCACAGATGTCCTTGTAACTGTACTAGCATGACGGTGTTATAAAAAGGGTGTGAATAGAAAGTTGCAGGATCCCTGCAGACACCTTGCAGACTGTATTTATTTTCATTATATTCTGTAAGAATTTTGTACAGTCAGCGTCATCAGTTTTTCCTATGGACAGTGATGCTGGACGCATACCATTTTGCTTCCCTTCTTCATCCCTTCTTCCCTCCCTTCCTCTCTCCCCTTCTTCCTTCCTCTGATCTCCTTCCTCTATCTCTTCCTTTCTCCTTGCTTTCACCAGGCATTTACTGACTACATACAACTTGCCTGAGTCACCCATGGAAACAGACTGCACAAACCAAATCAAATTCCTATCTCTCAAATGATTAGTCCATTCCTTAGAAGTATTAACACTGCCATTAAAATAATTTATGAATTCCTGAACATTTGAAGATGCACTTGATCTTCATTTTTCAGTTCCTTAGACATAGTTTGTACCATAATGAAACCTGGATGTTTGTTAGTGATTCCTGAGGGTTTATTTCTTTGCTTCTAGGTGCACACTGCCTGTAAAGATTTATATCATCCTGTATGTCCACTTGGCCAATGTAAAGTATCTGTCATACCTCCAATTGCACTAAACAGCACTGATTCTGATGGTAAGTGTCAGTAGTATAAGTATTTGTATTCCTGGTTTATCAAATGTTGATATGTACCCTGTTTTCCTAGTATAAATAACATTGTAGTTGGTTATTCTGGTCAGTTTTTATATAATAATTCCATTTCAGTTGCAGAACAGTACATTTAATTTATACAAGAACATTTTAAAATTAAGGTTTAACATAACTATTAACACAGTGGTGAAATTACAGTATAGAAGATTTATAGATTTTACATTTCTGCAAATCAAATAAGGTCATTATTCTGTAAGAAAATGCAACCTGAACAAATTAATTTTTATAAGCATTTTTTCCCTTCTGTAATTGAAACTGCCCATTAGCAAAGCTCTTTTTGAAACCTGTTTTCCTGTCGTTTCGTTGTAGGAATTTATATTCCCATACATTCATTCACTTTTTTTAATGTTAATATTTTACAACTTAATTGTACATGTGGAAGGACCCATTCACAACACTGGTTTGGGGATAGCATACTTATCACTTCTTTGTAAACAAACCGTATTACATAAGGCTTTTACCATAAACTATTATTAATGTTTTGCATCAATAAAGTGCCTTATGCTTTTCAAACTTTTTATAGAAATATGCCAATAGATATCATAGCTACTAGAAGCTGCACAAGATATGATTTTTTTTAACCTGTGCTGTTAACAACCTCCCCCTAAGCCCCAATATATCAAAGTTCTGTTATTTATTATAAAATTTTAAAATACTTTGAGACCTTAACACGGGAGGTGTTAAATATTTTATAATACTGAAAATGAGCATGACCCCTTAACAACTGTGAATTTGTAGACTATGATTGGTCTCTCTTAATAATTAAGTGTCGTTAGGGCAAGTGGTAGATCTCAAATTATCTGTGCTTAATACTTTCACCATCTTTTCTACGATTTTTCATTATAGCTCATATTTTAAAAGGTAAGTTCTGTGTTCTTAATATGTAAGTAATAAACCTGTCTGCATATGGGGGCTCTGAAGTATGAATTTCTTGTTTTTCTTCTAAAGTTTTGTTAAGAGAAAGCGGTACATATTGATCTTACATTGTGTTTTTGTTTTTTTCCCCCACAGGTTTCTGTAGAGCAACGTTTTCATTCTGTGTTAGTCCTTTATTGGTTTTTGTCAATTCTAAGAGTGGAGATAATCAGGGAGTAAAGTTTCTTCGTCGATTTAAACAGTTACTAAATCCAGCTCAGGTGTTTGATTTGATGAATGGCGGTCCTCATTTGGGGTAATTGATTACTGACAAATCTTCCATGAATGAAATGTAGCACTAAGTGTGAAATACATTTGCTTTTTCAGTTCATGAAAATTGTAGATTGATCTAGACGCCTCTGGGTTGATCTTCTCACACTTCCCTTTTTTTAACGTTCTAATTATAAATTTTAACACAACCTTTTTGATATTTATGTAACCTCCTTGTGTGCCCAAAGTTCTAAAATTTGTTTAGAAGATGTTTTAGAATATGTCACACTACATCAAACAATTCTGTTTGCTTAGCTCTGCAGAAGTAGACCAACTTGTGTAAATGGAGACATACAAAAAAATAACTTCAGAAAATGATTTGCATGAGAGGCTAGTATTGAACTGTAAACAGTACAAATAATCAGTTATTTAACTGAAACACAGATACTCTTGTGAATCTCAGAAACAAGTTCTTAAGGATTTCAGACTTGGTTCCCATAAATGACAGAGAGTACTTTTGTTAACTGTCCATTTCAAACTTCCTGGAATGTCATATAATTTAAAATCTGGGGGGAAAAAATAAGTGTTTCAGTGACGGAAAATATGCCTTGAGGCACTTTGAATACATTTTTAGTATCTATCTATATATTAGTATATATATATATGATATTTGTTGAAGAGGTGATATTGAGTCATCTGAACCAGGGGCATACAGTCTCTTTATGATTTACCTATGCCAACTTGGCTTTTCTCTTGAATTCCACTGTAACACAGAAGTAGAAATGAAGGTTTTAGATACCAGTTCCTGAAAAGGCCTTTTGTGTTTTGTGATTCAGCACTCTCCCGTCTTCTCTGTTTCTCTTCTCAGTCTCTCTTTGTGCCCCTTTTCACTTTTGTCCTTTCGGGGTCTTCCTTCTTGTTTCCATTGCCTTTTTCTTGCTATCTCAGGCCCTTCTGGTTCCGTGGGTATCGATCTTCATTTGAACCCAAGTCCTTCCTTATGTGCTGTATCCTGTATGGGTCCTGGCACTTTCTCATCTAGCTTCTCTCATCACCTCTGTCTCTCCCATCGCTAATTAGCTTTGTCTCTCTTTCTAGCGTATCTGTTTTATAATCCTTCATGGCTCCAATATCTTATTTTTTCACATTTCATTTTTTCTACTCATCCTAAAATTCCAAGGAACTCCTTTTGTGAAACTTCTTGAGATTGTCTCCATATTTTTTCAATTTTCCACAATACTTGAGGTGTACAAAGGTACATTCAGAAGGTGAGATGTGTCAAAATTTGAGATGAAGGAAGGCAGAAGTAAAAAGATTGACCTGAGAAAAAGAAAAGAGGAAATAAAAAAAACTACTGGCCGTATGGTGGGGGTATAATAGTGATGTTGGGTGGATCTCTAGGAATCGCCCCCAGGCCACTCAAGAGCATCAGTGCCCTGGATTCTCAACCTTGGTTTTAATATGCTACTCATGGAAATAATATATCCTTGTGATAGAAAGAAAAAGTCACTACTTTTACCATCACCTATCACTTAACCTTTAATAATCTTTCTTGGGTTCTGCTTCTTTTTTGTTTTCGCATTTCTCACTCCCCTTTCTTTTCTTCCTAATTTTGTTTCCATTTCTGCTTATAATCCTCTTTCCTCTTTATGATTAAGACATTTTTGTGAGTTCAGCATTGCACTCAAATTAATTTTTATAGTATGATTCACCTGTAAGAGTTCTTATATTTAATCTGAACATGAGTACCAATAAGTAACAACAGAATGACAAAAGAATTGGAGAAAGTGATTTTTATTCACTCATCCTAAAATAAAATACTTCTTACTTTCAGTTTAAGATTATTCCAGAAGTTTGACAATTTCCGGATTCTTGTTTGTGGAGGAGATGGAAGTGTGGGTTGGGTTTTGTCAGAAATTGATAAGCTCAACTTGAACAAACAGGCAAGTGGTCATCATTCTTTTCGTTGCTAGTTAACATGAATGTACCCTTCCCTGCTGACCAGTGAAGTGCAGAAATGTCCGAGGCTCTCTCTCTCTCGACGTGTCTGAGGCCTGCTGTGGGGCTGTTTTTCAGTGTCAGCTGGGAGTACTGCCTCTGGGCACAGGAAACGACCTTGCCCGCGTTCTCGGCTGGGGAGGCTCCTACGATGACGACACCCAACTTCCTCAGATACTTGAGAAGCTGGAACGAGCCAGTACCAAAATGTTGGACAGGTAATAGCAAATCCTCTTCTAAAACTAGATTGAAAGCAGCATACTGACACCCTCTTTTTGATGATTAGAATTGTACTGACAGTAAGCCCATGAAGGGGCCTCACCCTTGTGGTCTAGAACAGAGCCTGACACAGAACAGACACTCTGTAAATATGTTTTTTGAGTGAATGGATGAATTTTTTTTTTTAATGAGAAAACTAGTTTAATGAACCCATTATTTTAAAGATAGATGGCTACATTAATACTTACTATTGTTTAGTCACTCGGTCCTGTCCTACTGTTTGTGGACTGTAGTCCACAAACTAGAGTCCTACCCATGGATTATAGCCCACTAGTCTCCTCTGTCCATGAGATTTAATAGTAGAGTAGGTTTCTATTTCCTTCTCCAGGGGATCTTCCCAACCCAGGGATTGAAACCGCATCTCCTGCATTGGCAGGCAGATTTTTTTACCACTGAACCATTTGGAAACCTCATGTTGATACTAATTACTTTTAACTGCTGTTTGGGTCAGAAAGCTTAAATAGTTAATTTGTGGGGGTCTTTTGATGAATATACTAGGTATGGCCCTTTCATCTTCTGGTTTCATGAGAACCAAAGAAAACATACAAACTTTAAATAGTATATCTTCTTAATTATACATGTTAATAAGAAATTGAGCCAACAAAATGCTAAAAAATATAATCCTTTCCCAGAGACAGGAAAATGCTAGGAAAACAGCTTCACATGGAGGAACCATCACTGTTTTTATGGTGTTCTGGATTGCATCTCTTAACTGCTCTCCCTCTAAATACCCCACATGTAAAAAGAAAAAAAAATCCCAGTCTGTGTGACCTGAGTATTATGGAGGAGGTGTTTAGAACTGACATATAGGGAGCAACCGGGCTTTCATAGTGGCTCAGTGATAAAGAATCCATCTGCCAGTGTAGGAGATGTGGGTTCGGTTACTGCATCAGGAAGCTCCCCTGGAGAAGGAAATGGCAGCTCACTCCGTTATTCTTGCCTAGAGAATGCCATGGACAGAGGAGCCTGGTAGGCTACAGTCTACGGGGTTGCAAAGAGTCAGACACGACTGAGCGCAGGCACATAAGGAACAACCAGGACTCAGTAAGCCGTAACCTCCATCATCACTGGAACACAAATGTCAAAATCTCATTATAAACTTGAGCTAGCATGAATCAAAACAACTCTGATAGGATTAGCCATCTGTGGAACTCTTCCTGAAAATAACAAAATCTCATCAGGGAGTCACCAATCCAAAATGTGATTACTCTAAAATAAGCTGTAACCTAATTGATGGTAACCTTGCCTGTCATAAGGTAATGTTGCAATGGCTGATTCTTCTGCTGAGAGGATATTTAAAAAGAAAGCTAGGTTGGTGAGCATTTATCTGTGTTAATCCCAAACCAGTCATGAGAGGGATCCGCTGGTAGTTTGGGAGCATAAAGTGGACTCAGTCCGCAGTCTTTTAGTCTGGAGGTGGTTTCCCAGAAGACTGCCCAATTCAACGCTTACCAAACCCCACAAAGTATTTTAAATGGCTTTTTGTTGTAAATTTAAATACCACTCTCCCTACAACCTTGGAAATACTGTGAGGCATTTCCTCTTCACTGGGTATGTGCTTTTCCCTTGTATGTTATAAAAATTAACTTCTCCAGGTGGTTAGCAGAGAAACAACACCTCTGCAGTAAAATTCCTTAATACAGACCTGCAAAAAAAAAAGTATAAGTGAGACTCTCAGTCGTGTCCGACTCTTTGCGACCCCATGGACTATACAGTCCATGGAATTCTCCAGGCCAGAATACTGGAGTGGGTAGCCTTTCCCTTCTCCAGGGGATCTTCCCACAGGGATCAAACCCAAGTCTCCCGCATTGCAGGTGGATTCTTTACCAGCTGGGCCACAAAGGAAGCCCCCAACACCCCCCACCAAAAAAAAACAAAAAAAAAAACCAAAGGGGATTTAAAGAGCTAGGACTATGGTTAGAAACATAAGACAGTTTTGTTCTTGTGCTTTCTTTACTAATTTAAGAATTGTTGTTCAGTTGATAAGTCATGTCCAACATGATGAACTGCAGCACACCAGGCTTCCCTGTCCATTACTATCTCCTAGAATTTGCTCAAAGTCATGTTCATTGAGTTGGTAATACCATCCAACCATCTCATCCTCTGTCACCCCTTCAGTCAGTCAGAAGGCCACAGGATAACAAGATATCTTTAGCTGATTGTTGTTGTTCAGTTGCTAAGTTGTGTCCAGTTCTTTGCCACCCATGGACCACAGCACACCAGGCTTCCCTGTCCTTCACCGTCTCTCAGAATTTGCTCGAACTCATGTCTATTGAGTCAGTGATGCCATCCAACCATCTCATCCTCTGTCACCCCTTTCTCCTCCTGCCTTCAATCTTTCTCAGCATCAGAGTCTTTTCCAGTGAGTCGGCTCTTTGCATCAGGTGGCCAGAGTATTAGAGCTTCAGCTTCAGCATCAGTCCTTCCAAGAATATTCAGGGGTGATTTTCTTTAGGGTTGACTGCTTTGATCTTGCAGACCAAGGGTCTTTTCTAGCACCACAATTTGAAAGCATCCATTCTTTGGCACTCAGCCTTCTTTATGGTTCAACTCTCACATCTGTATATGACTAATGGAAAAACCATAGCTTTGACTATATGGACCTTTGTCAGTACAAGTGGAAAACTGATGTTTAATAATATTCCACATCATATATGCTTTTTCTTATATATTAACTTATTTAGTCCTCAAACAACACTGGCTAAGAAAAGCATTATTATGACTATTTCACAAAGATGAATGCTGAGTCTTCTGGAGACAGTAGGTGTAAGAATGACTAATATTTTTGGCTGCCTGGCATATCTAGTTGCTTTTCTTGATAAAGTATCATCTTGTTTAATCCTCACTATACATTTAAGAGATGGATAATATTATCGTCTCTACCTTACAGGTTAAAAGGCTCAGGAGATTTTTTTATGTTTTCAAGGTCAAATCACTGATAAGTGGTTGAAGTGATTGTCTACACCAAAATACAGACTCTTTCCAAGGGCCTTTGTTCAACACTGTACTCACTCTTTAATGCACATGCATGCATGCTAAGTCAAGTCAGTCGTGTCCGACTCTTTGCGACCCCAACGACTGCAGCCCACCAGGCTCCTCTGTCCATGGGATTCTCCAGGCAAGAATACTGGAGTGGGTTGCCATGTCCTCTTTCAGGGGATCCTCCCAACCCAAGGATTGAATGTACATCTCTTTTGTCTCCTGCATTAGTGGGCAGGTTCTTTGGGAAGCCCTTAATGCACACAATCACCACCAAATTGGTTCTTACTTTCTGCCTCCAGCTCTGCCTAGTTGGTACCAGTAAGCATCCCTTCCTGGCTCGTGCTGAGACTTTCTCCTGTTTCTTCAACTCCAGTCATTTGCCAATAAAGGGAAGAGGTATAGGTGGAAGGTGAAAGGACACCTAGGTGGATTTCTTTCCCAATTCTTTAACCATCCTTTCACCAGAGAAGTATTTCCAGGTATATGGAACTTGACTTCCTTGTTTTCAGTTGTGATTTTCCCTTCTTGATGTTTTACAAAGTTTTATTATTTTATTCATTGCTTTTATTACTCTGTTTTCTGCACCAGAATATACGCTTTATTGGAGAAGTTATATTCACTTTTGTATTACCAGACCCTTGAATACTGTCAGTGTGAGATGTTCAGTACATACCTGTTGCATGGATGAATGAAGGAAAGAAAGACTTTTTATGCTCAAATATGTATATTTGTAATGAGGACTTCCATGCTGGCTCAGCAGTAAAGAATCTGCCTGCAATATAGGAGATGGCGGTTTGATTTCTGGGTCAAGAAGGAAACGGCAGCCCACTCCAGTATTCTTTCTGGGAAAGTCCCATGGACAGAGGAGCCTGGCACGCTGCAGTCCATGGAGTCTCAAAGAGTCAGGCACAACTTAGTGACTAAACCAGCAACAGGCATATATTTATAATATATTCATATCAAGAGTTCAATAGCAGTTATACACATCTATTTAGTTTACACATCCTAACAGATAACCTATGTCTTTCAGGGAATTCTCTCAGAATTTGAATTTTGATGCAGACTTCTTAGTCTGATTGATACACTAGGTTCTGTTTACATACTGATGCTAATCTTGGGATTTTCCTCTAGGTTCTGTCACTGTGATTTGCTTTTCTTAAAATTTCATAATTTGCAGTAGTGCTCTTATTACGCTTTGTGTCTTTGAAAAATCTTTATTTCACATCTTGTTACTGACAATAATAATATCTATACCCAATTGTTCTTCTCAAGTGTTGAAATTATTTTAGATAGATGACTGGATTTATCTGGAGTTGATTGCTTATGTCTAACAGCAAATGATTCAGTGTTTGGTTTGAAATTAATATTTATAGCTAATTGAAATGAATTTGCTTCAGTTAAGCATTATTTCTATTAATATTTTCCTCTCCATTCCGCACTTACTTTCTTAATGTAAGGACTATTTAGCTAATTTCCATTTCATGTCTGTATAAACTGACTTGGTAAGACTGTTACTTGCAGAATGATTTATTTTTCATAGGTACTGTGCATTTATTTAATCTTGGACATTATTTTAGAATTTGGAGTTGTGACCATTAGTAACTTTTATAATCTAATTAGAAATTGCAGTGAGATTATTTAAAAAGTAAAACAGAAAAGAACAGAAAAGTCATAATGCTTTGCACTTAGTGAAGAGGGGCGGTCTTATTACATATGTACATTTCTTACTGTGGGCCATGGCCTTCAAATGTTTGAAAGTCTCCGATCCAAGATTTGGTAAGATAGGGATATCATAAATTATGAATCAGCGTTTTATGAGATTACGAGAGTCCATCTCGTCCCATATTTGGTCATTTCAGACATGGTAAACATGTTCATGAATATGTGTGCACATGTATATGAGGGGTTTCCCTGGTTGCTCAGACGGTTAAGAATCTACCTGCAATTCAGGAGACCCGGGTTCGATCCCTGGGTCAGGAAGATCCCCTGGAGGAGGAAATGGCAGCCCACTCCAGTACTCTTGCCTGGAGAATCCCATGGACAGAGGAGCCTGTTGGGCTACAGTCCATGGGGTCGCAAAAGAGTCAGACACGACTGAAGCAACTTAGCACAAGCATGTGTGGATGTGAGGTGAGACCAAAATCTATTAAATTTTAAAGGAATTTTAGACCAGATATTCTTCTCCCTTCAGGTGGAGTATTATGACCTATGAACTCAAATTGCCGCCAAAAGCTTCTCTACTTCCCGAACCTCCAGAGGCGTCTGAAGAATTTTATGTAAGACTTTAACTCTTTACCTGTTTATCATTTGAAAACAGAGTTGAGTATCTTGAACGATAAAAAAAAACATGTATAAGATATGGTAGCATGTTCACTTAATTGTAATTGTTATTTGGGGTCTGGTCTCACTGACTGCCTCTACTCCTCCCCTCTAGAGGAAAGAATCCTTCCCGTCTCGGTTAGGGCCCTTCCCCGACACCCTCCTTGGCTGTGTGAATTCAGCCGCATCACTCGCCTTCGTGGGTCTCGTCTTCATGGGCCTCATGTGTTGGGGAGGCCCCATGTTGGGAGGATTGAAGGAGGTGATGAGGTGTGGAAAGCTTTGCGCATGCAGACTCCCTTGCTCGCACCCCAAGGGAATTCTCCCTGAATATTCTTCCTGCCGGTTTACTCTTTCCAGCAGGGCTCTAGGGAAGGCAGCTGATGCCTGGCTCCTGTCAGCTTTCACTCATCGCCTGCTTCAGCCATGAGCACCTGTTTGGTTATTAGGTGTTCACCCAGCTCCCTTAAATAACCTCCAAGCACACCAATACTTGTTGCCAGAGTATTGTAGAATTTCTCTCTTGCTGCTTTGCCCTCTGTGTTGAGGGCGTATCAGAATGACCTTCCTAGGTTAAGCTTCTCTAGGTTAAGCCTGTTGATCAAGATAAAACAAAGGAAGACAGTGCCCTTCATTCCATCCCTGCTCCACACCGTTAATAACTACAGTGTTTAGACGTTCTTAAAGACTCTACATTCTGATTAAACCTCAAAGCACTGGAGATTTTAAAAATAATGTAATTTTCAAAGGATTATTCTCTGACTTACTAAGACTGTTTGGTCTATGATAGCTTATTTTTTCCCTCTAGGAAAATTCCTCTGTTTATTTTACAGTTGAAATCTTTGTTTTGTCATTAAGAAAATTATGATCTTGTCAAAACTAAGGAAGGGAATAATATCTAGAAACATTGGGTTTATTCCTCAAAGAAACTAACTGTATTTAAATTTTTTCCCTGATATAGAAATAGCAAAAACTGCTTCTAAAAAATTAGGAAAATACAAAAACATCTGACAAAGAAAAGAAAAATTTTATTTCTAGTCCTGCCACCCAGAGGTACATGTGTGCTAAATCACTTCAGTCACATCGGGCTCCTTGTGACCCCATGGACTGTAGCCCAACAGGCTCCTCTGTCCGTGGGATTCTCCAGGCAAGAACACTGGAGTTGGTTGCCATGCCCTTCTCCAGGGGATCATCCTGACCCAGGGATCGAATCTGTGTCTCTTCTGTCTCCTGCATTGGCGGGCAGGTTCTTTACCACTAGTGCCACCTGAGAAGCCCTAATTACTAATATTTAATAATTACTGTTAAAGATGAATATATTTTCTACTTTATTTCCAGCAGCATTTCTATTTTTGTTTATAAGAATATTTTATCCAACTATAAACGTAAAGATTTTATAGGAACCAATCTTTTTTCTTCATAGAATTTTTTAATGTTATAAATTTTCTCTCCAGAGGGACAGAAGGAGGAGATTATCTTGCTCTTCTTACTTCAGAGGTGTCTATCTCCTAGCATATAAAATAAAGCTGGGCAATTTACTTTTATCACATGTGTAGTCACTGAGTATAGGGTACAGCTGTGACTACATAGAAGAAGGCTATTTTTACTGTAAAAGATTTTGAATGAAACTTTCTACAAAACTTTAAATGGATTTTCTGGGTTTCTCTGAGAATATGAATTAAAGAATCCAGAAACTAAGAACCTTTCAGAGAAAGGAAATACTTATATATTTTGTATAATGACTCTCATAGATGTATTATTTATTTCATTAAAGTCATTTATATTTCATTATAGCCATTGCCGTGTGTCACATGCATCAAGATGATCCCATTTTTGAAGCACTAATAACAGAGTTGTATGAATGCCAGCAACAGTAATACAGGGTAGGTTTTTTATTTTTTCCAGATGACAATTTATGAAGACTCAGTTGCAGCTCATCTTACAAAAATCCTCAATTCTGATGAACATGCAGTGGTCATATCTTCTACCAAGTGAGTTGTGGCGTTCAAGTCATGAAATAGTTATATGGCGAAAATGAGAGGAAAGCATTTTATCTTTCTTATTTAAACAAACTTTTATGATTAATTATGATGTGGAAAACACATTTCACTATAATTCATTATTTCCATAAACACTATTATTTAGGGATCGTTTACATCAGAAAAAGGAAAATAGCAATGAGATTTTTCAAAATGACATTTCTCAGGATGGTTAAATTTTATAATTATATTTGAATTCAAAGTTATCAGATTTTAGTTGTTGATTCCATACGTGGAATCCCAAACTACTTGATTTTATTATTCCAAATGTTGCCTGGGTAGAATTTAGGATTTTGGTGTGAAGCACCCTCTACTGCCATCATAAGAAATGGAAAATCAGCTGGAGGATAGGGTGAAACCCACTCAAATTTTCAACTGATATAAGTAAAAACATGCTTTAGGATTCTGGTATAGCAAGGAAATATTACTGATACACAGAAAGAAGTGAGAAAGAGGAAGTAAAGAAAGGTGATGGGAAAGTGGTGGAGAAAAAAAGACATAAAATTTAGTATGTTATATACTTAATTAGCCAGTAAATCAAGGAAAGACAAGATAAATCATTATAAACAGATTTGCTTGTGACAAAAGTACGAATGTAGTGACAGTCGCATTTGATGCTATAACCCCCAGGAAGGGGAGATATGACCGAGCAGTAGGAAAACAGTTGAGCCATGTAAGACAAGGGAACACACTGGTTGCCCAGATTGGTGGGCTCCAGAGCTCTGTTTGATGGACAGTGCTGCTACTGGGTTTTTGGGTTTGATGCCTCGGTTGGGTGTTTTCTAATTAGCTGTATTGCTTTATGGTGAAATGTACAAATCTCAGCTTTGTCCCAGGCCTTAACACTTCCTATGGCCTTTTTCATCTTGGGCCAAATCCATATCCTAAAGTTATTTCCTTAGGTATTTCTTAAGTTACTTCTACAAGGAAGCTATTTGCATTTGCACTCTGGCCCTATGAGTCAAATGCTTCTTTACAGGACATTTTAAAGGATATTGTTAGAAAACATAAAAAGTTGAAATGGGACCTTTTTAAAGGTATAAAAAGTTGCAGAGTTATTCTTTAATATAGTTAACTAAATATTGTATTTGGCCACCTTTCTTAGTTTGGATGTTAGCAGAGCTTTAATATTGAACTTTGTGTATTTGATGTGTTCGGTTACTGCCTCCTTTACATTTATATATTTTTTATTTTATTTCTTTAAGAGTATAATTGACATAACATTTTTTAATAAAATTTTATGCAGAATCTCAATATTTAAAAACTAAAATTCTGTTTTGTTGACATTAATACATTGGATAGTATTAAGTTATTGGTTATTTATGAGAAGAAATGAGCAATAAGGTTACAGGTGACAGTTTTAGTTTATATTCAGTGTGGTTTCCAGTTATCTGTATTTTATGTTGGTTATGTAATTGTAAGAATGCCATTTTTATTTATTAACTGAGGACAATTTCCTTACAACTATGTAACCAACATAAAATACAGAAATAGCTGGTAACTGCATTGAATATAGCCCAAGACTTGCACAAAAAGTAGTGAATTCAAAATTAAAAGCTAACGTAGTATTGTTCTCTTACATGCTTAATGATTTGAGAACATTTTTAAATTTATGATCTATATTTCTGAATTAAATTTTAATCTAGCCTTGGTGGAATCCTTGAGATATTTCTGAAAAACAGCTTGAAAACCACTGACTTAAGTCCGAGCACTGTGCTGTCAGTCTGAGGTCCTAGATGAGATCCGGCCATTTGCTGGCTTTGTGACCCATGTCTATTTTATCAAGTGTAAGAATGGAAAGAATGCCTGTCCTTCCTCCCTCATGGAACTGTTAGGGGAATTAACTTGAGGAACAAAATAAATATAGAACTTATGAAGTACAGAGTGCTGTATTAAATTGTGGTGTCATCACCTCATGTTTTACCCAACTGCATTTCACATTTTTTCTTTGACCTTGACCTGGCTTCCTGTCTAGCCTCTACTGTTAGCTTAGCTTTGGATTCCTCCCTGACTGGGTCATTTGCCTTTAAGCAGACTCTGTTCCTGTCTTGGTCCACTCTTGTCACTTGTCCGGGCTCCCAGACCTGTCCAGCTGCCTGACCTTTGCAACTGCAGATTAAAATTCAAGGGCATTTGCCGTAATGAGGTTCAAGAGAGAGAAGATGGGACTATATGCAGTAACTTTGTATCAGTAATATAATAATAGTACCAGTATACTATGTTTTTACTATGCCAGTAATATAGTACCAATATAGTATATTTTTATATCAGTATAGTATATTTTTGAGTGTGTTTTTTTTCTTTTGGCCTTACCAAGTGGCATGCAGAATCTTAGTTCCCCCACCAGGGATCAAACCTGCACCTGTTGCAATGGCAGTGCAGAGTCTTAGCTGCTGGGCTGCCAGGGAAGGTCCCTACTTTGATTTTTTGTTACAGACTTTTACAGACATAGAAAAAAATTGAGGCATTAGTATAATGATTTTCTACCATACCTATCACTCAGCTTCAGTATTTTGTCAATGTTTTGTTTTCTCCTCCCCACTTTCTCTTGCTGCTGTATCTAAGCAAATCCTGGAAATCATTTTATTCCAGTTTCAGTTTGTATATCCGATAATTTTTAAAAACTCTAATAAAGTTAATAATAATTATTCAACGTATATTCCATTTCTTTAATTTTCTTGAAGTTCTTTTTTTTTTTAAACAGTTGATTCATTCAAATCAAAATCCTAACAAGGCACATATTGCCTTTAGGTTTTATGTCTCTAAGACATGGAAAATCTATAATATTTCTCCCTGCTTTTAAAAAATTGTGTTATTGAGGCATGACCCATACACGATGAAGTGCTCAAACCATAAAGGTACAACTGAGTGCTTAGAGAAAAACACAACACATTCACACTCACATTCTTCTGACCACCACCCAGAAAAAATAAAGAATTTCCTTCTCTCGTTAGTGCCATTTAATTATTGAATGATGCAGTATTAAGGCAGAACATTTTTTAAAATAAACCTCCTGTTTTTTATGTCTATATTTGTTTCATAAGATAGTAATTCTCAGTTGCTTAAGCTATTTTTTTTTCTTCTTTTTTTTTTTCTTTTTTATTTATTTATTTATTTTATCACAACCATAGTGTATCTTTTTTTTTTTTTTTTTTTACATGTATTCCCCATCCCGGTCCCCCCTCCCACCTCCCTCTCCACCCAATCCCTCTGGGTCTTCCCAGTGCACCAGGCCCGAGCACTTGTCTCATGCACCCAACCTGGGCTGGTGAACTGTTTCACCCTAGATAATATAAGTGTTTCAATGCTGTTCTCTTGAAACATCCCACCCTCGCCTTCTCCCAGAGTCCACAAGTCTGTTCTATACATAGGAGTCTCTTTTTCTGTTTTGCACATAGGGTTATCGTTACCATCTTTCTAAATTCCATATATATGTGTTAGTATACTGTAATGCTTAAGCTATTTTTAACTATTTTTAAATGTTGAAAATGCCGGTGAAAAAGCTGTATTTCATCAGCATAGCTAGTAAGTAGGTTAACTAATGTAGTTCAACACAACATCAATATTTCTTTGACTTTGAAATTTTGTCAGTCCAGTAAGTCAACATGAGTTATCTTCTGAGATTCAGAAGCACTAATTAGTCATTACAGATGTCATTTATTAATAAAGACGAAAAGCAAGTTTTTAAGTAAATGCAATTTTCTTTGTAGACAAAACTTCTTAGAAAATGGGATCACTAGCAGGAAACAAAATAATAAAACTGGAATCATTGTCTTAGAACCATAGAATTTTAGATTTGGGGACTGTCTTAGAGATAACTTAGGCAAACCCACCCTCACTGAACAGATGAGGTATGATATATAGTTGTTAGACTCTTTCCTCAGAGCACGTAGATAGCTAGGGATTTTAATATATTATGCATGGATACTTGTAAATCACCTTTAATTTCTGATTGGAACATTAATATCAGATTAAAAATGAAATTTTCGGGTTCTGATAGTATGGTCCCTGCCTACCAATATGTGATCCTGTTTGGGCACCATTGCCATATTTTTCTTACTGTAGCATTTGCATGCTTTATTGTCATTTATCTCTCATAAAAAATAAGTGAAAAACTGGTAAATGACGGTACTGCTACTGATAAGTATGGATCTCATAACTGAGATGATGGTGGGAACCATCAGGCATGCTACTATGGACTTTTGTTAGGTTCAACTGAATATTCATTGCACATGTTTGTTCATCTTGAAGAGAGAGAGCAAAACTAAAGAAATACAGTGCTGGAAATGCTTAATTAAAATAATAGCTAACATTAATTAAATATGTAATTAGGAATTTAAAATACATTTAGCTCTGTTTGAAGGTCCATGTGCCACTTTTATTCATTTGATTTTTGCACATGTTTTCTGGACGTCTTTATGTATTAAGGGGAAATTGCATCAGTTGGAGAATGTGTTTTGTGTTACTATGGTAAGTACATCTTTAACCTGTTTTTCCCCAATTTTGCAAGTTCCTGGTTGGTGTGACTTTGAAATCATACTGCTTTTAAGTATATATTTTATTTCTATTTAAAAACTCTACCCATTTAGATGTAACAAGAAGTGAATTCATTCCTCTGGGTTATAATAAATATCCTCTATCTTCTGGAATATGGGACTTAATGAACCATGAGATTCCTCCTGCTAAGTGGCCAGTGTTCTCCTAACACAGAATCCTAAGTCCACAGAAGAAATTTCATAGTAGCCTGTCTTAGTATTTCAAGAAATTCCATAAAAGTATTATACATAAAACAAAGAAGACCGAACGACATGAAACACATGAATGAATCTCTAATAAACTAAAGTCTCTGTAGAAATTTGACTTTAAAAGGGTGATCAAAAAGGTTGAGGGTTAGGAAGTATTACCTTTTGTCCAAGTGACATCTAGAAATTGTTGCCAAAAGACAAAACAAAAATTGTTTGGAGTAATTCATTTATTTCTTAGATGATAAATGTGAAGGTTTGGAGAGTGTGTGTGTGTGTGTGTGTGTGTGTGTGTGTCTCCCCTCTATCTATTGAATGGCTTGATTTCATAGTTATTTAAGTATCTGAAAACTTTATGTTGCCCACATACCAGAGAAAACTGTCAGTATAATAGAAAAAATAACTGCTGGAATCTTTTCTTAAAATTCCTCAACTTTTATCAATGTTAAAGAGAAATACTATTTTTTAGATAGTCTGATTTTGTTTTCAAAATCACTTTATAAGCTCTTGCTTCAGAAAGCTGGTCATACCATTCTGTTGGTTGTAGTTTTTAATCCAACACCAGTTCTAGACTTTTGACAAATTTTGTTTGTATTTCAGATGATTTTTTTTCTTTTTAGTCTATTTCATTGCAAAGAAACCAAATGTAATTAAAAAAAACAAACAAATAAACTATGTATTGCTGACACTAACAAGACCTAAATTCAATTAGTCTGCATGGTATTGCATTAGTTATCTTAAGGGAGGGGGGGAGATTGGATTTACAGAGAGTATAAGTCAATTCAAGTGGCAGGCTGGTTCCCAGCATAATGTACAACCTCTTTTCTCTTCAGGAAAGATATACTTCCCAGATACACATATAATGAATAGAAGAGCAACAGGGACATCATCAGTGACAAATTTTTTTGTTTGTTTAACACTGCAAATTCTATTATAAGAATACGTAAGACGCAGAAGATAATGTCTTATTTTTTAAATACGATCTAAAACTACTCTTCTCAAGAATTTAAAGCTTTTAAATATTTGAGAAAGACTTTATACAATCTTAAAACGACTTATTTCAATTATGTAGAGCAAGGCTTATTCATATATCCCTTTATCACTTCAAATATCCTGAACTAATCTAGGGCCCACCACACAGCAGATAGAAGTTTGGGTTTATAAAGCAATGATCCTGATATTTTAACAGTTTACTCAATTGTCCTTATTTTTAAATATGTTTGTAAATCAAAGCAAAGCAGCGTTCTGAGTTTCCTGAATTGCACAATTTCTTTTGCTCAAAGGATACTTTGTGAGACTGTAAAGGACTTCGTTGCCAAAGTAGAGAAGGCACATGAAAAAACGCTGGAAAAAGCTGTTGCAGCCGATGCTGTGGCCAATAAAGTAAGCGGGACACATTCAGGGCGGGAAGGTCTTTTACAATGTGAACATCAAACTGTGTTTTATAGCTCAATTTATTAAGTGGCTTTCCTGCCAAGGCATCTCAAGGCAGGAGAAAATTGCTTTTGTATCAGATATGAGGATTTCAAACATATGCTATTTTTTCCTTTTTTTTGGAGTATAATTGCTTTATAATGTTGTGTTAGTTTCTGCTTTACAATGAAGTGAATCAGTTAGAGGCTTACAGATATCCCTCTTGGCCCTCCCTCCCATTGGTATGTACGAAAACTGCATTGCTGAAGACCCAACAATCTGAATTTGATAACTCACCTCCTTTTCCCCACTGGTTGACATTTTGAAGGAGAAATGCACAGTAGTTGGGTCACATGGGGGAAATTGCTAGGCCGCTGGTGCTCCAGTGGGGAGAGGAATGGCTTTCCATTTCCAGGCAAACCTTGACCACCCAAAGTTCCCTGCCGGATCCCCCAGATGTTATAGTCCTTGGCATCTTTCAGGTTTCTGTCTCTTGCTTTGCCTTTTTTCCCCTTTGTGAGCTGTCTTAGGCTAAAATAAGAACAGTTTACTGAACCCTGAAAGCCACTGTCTTTGCTTTCATTTGCTAACAACAGGGCATTCTTACAGACGGTTTGGCTCTCTGGGGCTTTGCAAAGGCATGATCTCCCCCAGCTGCGGATGGTGGTTGGATTGAGTGGAAGGGAAAGAAAATGGAAATAATACATCTGAAGTTTTCAGCCTCTTTCTCTTATTTTTCTACTCTGTGGAGAGCTTCAGAAAACAGAAACCTTGTGTCATCACGTTTTTCTCCTATTTCCGCTGTGACTTTGTCTTGGCCTGTGATCAAAAAAAGGCAGAGAGGACTGGAAATTTGTGTGGAGACAAAAGGTATATTAGGCAGCAGCATCAGTAGCTTTGGGCTTTTCAGGTGGAGCTAGTGATAAAGAACTTGCCAGTGCAGGAGACAGGAGATGTGGGTTCAGTCCCTGAGTTGGGAAGATCCCTTGGAGAAGGAAATGGCAACCCACTCCTGTGTTCTTGCCTGGAGAATCCCAGGGACGGAGGAGCCTGGTGGGCTGCAGTCTTAGGTTCTCACTGAGTCAGACACGACTGAAGCGACTAAGCAGCATGAACCATACTTTCAGTCCCAAATGTTTCTTTACCCTTAGGACTTCAAGAAAAGCAGAAGGAAACAAGGGCCCAGCACTAGTTTTTCTTTCTGCGTCATCGTTATTTCTTATCCTAGGCACATCCCTTTTCTCTTTCTTTGAGCCAGTAATCCCTTAAATACTCACACTCCTTTGCAAAACCAAAGCTTTGAAGGTGTGTTTACAAGACTCAGCCAGACTTGGCAATTTGTGATGCTCCAAACAGTGCCATAGGTTGATCACTTAAAAAATGTTTATGCAGTGTTTTGCGTGAATGAGTGTGCCAAGTCTCTTCATTCATGTTCAACTCTTTGTGACCCCATGGACTGTAGCCTGCCAGGCTCCTCTGTCCATGGGATTCTCCAGGTAAGAATACTGGAGTGGGTTCTATGCCCTCTTCGAGGGGATCTTCCCAACCCGGGGCTGAACCCGCGTCCCTTATGTCTCCTGCATTGGCAAGCAGGTTTTTTTAAACCATTCACTCCACCTGGGAAGTCCATGTTTTGTCTAATGTATAGCAAATTTTGTATAATGTATAAATTGTTTGTGTAATGTGTCACTTTATCATGAAATTTTCTTTGTTTTCTTTTAAGGAAAAATACTTTAGGAGGACTGTAAAGATTTTTCACCCATGCAATGGAGTTTAAATAGTTCTGGAAGTATAAATCAGTAGATTTACAGAATAATTGTGCAGTTTTTAAAAAAATTTAAAGTTATTTAGTCCATAGTTATCTAAAGTATAATTTATAATGTATAGCCAATTAATGATAACGGCTTCCCAGGTGGCTCAGTGATAAAGAATCCACCTGCCAATGAAGGAGACTCTGGTTCAATCCCTGGATCAGGAAGATCCCCTGGAGGAGGAAATGACAACCCACTCCAGTATTCTTGCCTGGGAAATCCCGTGGACAGAGGAGCCTGGTGGGCTACAGTCCCTGGGGTCACAAAGAGTCGGACACGACTTAGGGACTAAACAACAAAATTAATGATAAATATCAATGTAGGCATCTTTCCTCTAAAAAAATGGAAAACCATTCAAATAAAGTATCACTTTCCATCTCCACTGAATGAACGTTCATCACTGTTTTTGTTTTCTCAGTGTTCCATCCTAAATGAGAAGCTTGAACAGCTGCTCCAGGCTTTGCACTCAGAGTCCCAGACAGGTCCAGTGCTCCCAGGCCTCAGCCCTCTCATGGTAGAAGAAGATGCTGTGGAATCTTCCAGCGAAGAATCCTTGTGTGAGAGCAAGGAACATCTCTTGGATCCCACTACAAAACCCTCATCCCAGAAAGCTGTCAAACCAAGGGAGATAATGCTGCGGGCAAACAGCTTAAAGAAAGCAGTGAGGCAAGTCATTGAGGAGGCCGGAAAAGGTACACGTTCACAAAAGCAGCTTCTGAAGTCAGCAACATTTTTATTGCAAGCACAAGAGAGCTTTCATATTAGTCAGACTGTGTGTGCTCGGTCGTGTCTGACTTTACAGCCCCATGGCTATAGCCCACCAGGCTCCTCTGCTCATGGAATTTTCCAGGCAAGAATATTGGAGTGGGGTGCCATTTCCTACTCCACGGGATCTTGCCTCCCACCCCCCGCCAGGGATTGAACCCACAACTCTTGAGTCTCCTGCATTGGCAGGCGGATTTTTTTACCACTAGCGCCAACTGGGAAGCCCACTGGTCAGACTAGACACATGTTAAAAGAATTTCAGAGATAAAGTACACTGAAAATGTTAAAATAAAATTACAAATTACTTTTAAATCATATTTCTGAAATTAAATTTTTTAACTGGAATCTGTTAAATTCTTAAAATCAAGCCTATAAGCTACTTTGAAAATATTTTCTTAACATTTATCTCTTAAATGTTTATGTTGCTTTTTTAAGAGCTTTTTTAAAAGTTCCACCTGTTTTAGTTTTTCTGTATTGCTGTAATATGTGTACTTCTCTTAGAATTTGAGGTAGTCGACTAAAACTTAACTTTAGATAATATTCAGAAACTCCTTACAAATTGTAACTTGTAGTTAGACTTGTCTTTCATCCTCGAAGTTCTTAGATTAAAATTTTCTCTTCTGCTAAAAATATAGTTTTGAGATTTTAAAATATTTCCTTTTATAGTCTGTAGTATTAATACTTAACAGACATCACATGACCCCAGAGTTCACTGCCAATCAGTGCTTATTTGTGAATGGGAAATTTCCTTGAGTTTATATTTCAATTTTCCAAGCATATGTTAATATTTATAGATCTTAATTTTGCTCATTCAAACATATTTCTCTTCTTGCTACTTAAAGTGATGGATGACCAGCCAGTTCACTCCTCTGAACTAGTTAATCAGTCGTTCGATTATGATAGCACAGAAACAGATGATTCCAAAGATGAATTAAAAGAAGATGATGCAAAAGAGTCATTAACTGGTAAGAAAACTGTGATAAGATTATTTTGGGATCAGATAAAATGTAACTCTGCTTTCTGTTTTTGAACAGCTTATTAGTATGAAATAAACTATTTGCATTTTTATTTTTAACAAGGTTTTTCAGAAATTGAAACTTAGATGTTCATGAATGCTGAAATAATGCTCTCATGATCAGCTCTAACTGTTAGAAAGTTTTTCTTCTGTCAATGTATTGAGCTCTATATTTTCTTCCTTAAATTTCCATGGTTACATTATTATTAAAAAAACTTTTTGTATGATCACGTTAACAGAAACAACTACGGACATCTGCGTAGTGCTTTATGGTTTAATTTTACACACATCATTTCATGATATTGCAGATGGCTCTTCCACGGGATAGCCCTTACTGCAAACAGCTTTCAGGGCATCATATCCTCTTTCCACACATTGTATGTTCTTTTTCCAGATTCTGTCTAGTAAATTATCTTACCAATCTAATGTGATCATTTTAAACCTTTTGTTTTTCTCATTAATGGTCAATATGATGCCCCATTAAAATATGATGCCCCATTTTAAGCAGCATCTTCCAGATATTTCTGTAATATAATAGCACACCAGTACTCATACACTCCTCATTCTGGACATAGTGAATGGCTCTTTGGAGGACTGGATTTTCAGTGCTCATTGGTTTTGGTTTTCTAACCACCTACCATCCCATCTTACTATCCTGTCATGAATTTGATGCTTCCATTGTAGTCTGCAAAGAAAACCAAAAAATAGAGATAGAATAACATAGATATTGTTATTGAAATAAGCATAGATTATGCAAGTCTTTATGGTGCAGCATTTGTTCTTAGTTTTTGCCTAGTATTCCAGTTTATTGGGCATCAGTATCTGGAGGAGTGTTTTCTGAGTTAAATCATTAACTTTATGAAGCACATTCATTATATTATCATTGAATAATTTAATTATTTGTATGTCTGAGATGTGCAAAATACACATTAATATGATCAATGATATGTTATTTTTAAGAAGAGCCGTGAAACATTAATTTAGTTACCTGTAGTGAAACATCAATCTTGGTCACTAGAATGCTCTCTGGTTTTTTATCAGCGATGAATATCAAAAGGTTGTTTTTATAAGAAATTAGTTCCAGGGCTCCCATCTGTCCAACAACAACAAAAAGAAAGAGTTCTGTTCTGTTCCTTTTCCTTAGTGCAACTGGACAGTTTTTGAACAGAGATGAGAGTATAAGATTAATATAGTTAGTTTGTAATTAGTCTTAGCAAAGTAAAGATAATAAGGTTTTAGAGTATTTTTAAACTGAGTTTGAGGATTACTGTTTCTTTTAAACACCTGCCAACTGTTGCTAAATTAGTTAAAGATACTATTTGATCTCAATTAAATTACACCAGTTTAGGTAGAATTAAATCTCTTTTTATTGTTTACTTTGAGAATAATTCTGTTTTGGAATAATTTTTTTAATGAACTTTTATAAGGATATGATAGAACTGTTTTCTTTGAGTAAATGGTTAATTGAGACATAAAAGTATATTGATTTCATTTGAAAAAATAATATTTTTCCTCTGGGAATTACATTAATTACATTTGATTATTTACTCAACATTTTTGAGAAAAGGATTGCATTGGTAATATACACTACAATATATATGTTCCATCTTCAAAGATTGTCAGGTGTCAAAATTTCCTTTCTTTAAATATGGATTGCTCGCTTTCAAATTAGGAGTATCATTGACCTTTAATTATGGTGAAAAGTGAAAGTGTTAGTCGCTCAGTCATGTCCGACTCTTTATGACCCCATAGACTGTAGCCCACCAGGCTCCTCTGTCCATGGGATTCTCTAGGCAAGAATGCTCGAGTGGGTTGCCATGACCTCCTCCAGGGAATCTTCCCGACCCAGGGGTCGAGCCCTGGACTCCTGCGTTATAGGCAGATAGTTTACCGTCTGACCCTATTGATCATCATCTATTTAAAAATGAGAGACCAATACAACTACCTGTGACACATTCCTTCCACATGGTAAATCCCCAGAAAATGAATAGAAAATGGTACAAGAATAGGTAAGCCACAAGGTAATATTTTCAGTTCTACTGATTAAACATGTATGAAATTATTTTATGTCATCAAGTGTATAGAGACTTGCTCATTTTCTAAAATAACTTTATGAGTATCTCTTTTTAATCTGGACTTTTTGCCCACAGTTAAAGGTGCACCTCGGTCTCCAGATGGCCGGTCTGGTCGTTCCCAAACTGATTCTGGCCCTGGTGCCCCTGTAGCATCCAGCAAGGAAAACCTCCCTGTGCTCAATACCAGAATAATTTGCCCAGGTAGTACTGACTCTGAAACATGGTGTATTTTTCAGTATTTCTGTGAAAGTGTATAAGTACTCATCTTCATGAACTGTATAGCAATGTTCTCATAAGGTGTTCCTTTAAGAGAGTGCTCTTAGTAGTTTTAGTAACCAAAGTCCAGATCTTTAGACTGTGGTGTAAGTTAGAATTGCCTGGAAACTCTTAGAAAGCATATTCCTGGCCCCTGACCTGAGAAATTTTGATTGAGTAGCTCTAGAGTGGAACCCAGGAATCTGCATTTAAGTCCTAAGGTAAATTTGAACTTACATTTAACGAATTTTTAAGTGTCCCTACAGCCTTCCTTTCTTAGTTTTAAGCCACACGTATCTGTAGTTATTTTTAGACTAATAATATTGCATCATTTTGGAATATCTGAAGCATCTGTTTCAGCCCTGATAAGGGCTTGGGATTTAGGATAGTGTTAGTGGAAACTGAAGGATGTGTCTGGAAGTGGAGGGAGGTAAATGTAAATGTCTCAGAGATCTCCTTAAGTACCATTTGTTTGCCTTAGTGAAAACTTTCCAAAATTCATTCCAGAGTAGTTTGGAACCCAGATTACACCCTAAAAATCAGTCTCTTCTACAAATGATTTTTAAAGGTGTATCACAATTCAAGAGTAATATTTGGAGACTTTATTATTGTTTATAATAGTCAAAAAGTGGAAACAACCCAAATATTCATCAGTTGATGAATGGAGAAGCAAAATATGGTGTGACCATACAATGGAATATTAGTCATTAAAAAGGATGAACCACTGATATATGCTGTAACATAATTACCCTTGAAAACATTATGCCAAGCGAAAGAAGCTCAACACAAAAAGACACATATTATATGATTCCATTTACATGAAATGTCCAGAAGAGTCCAATCTATAGAGAAAGAGAGCTTTCGTGGTTTAGTGGTTTCCAGGATCTGAGACCTGGGGGCCCTGGAAGGAATGGAAAACAACTGCAAACCCATATGGGGTTTCTTTCAGTGGTAATAAAAAGTTCTGAATCAGGTAGTAATGATCATTGAACAACTTTGTGTATATAAAACTTAATTATATACTTTAAAGGGGTGAATTTTGTGGTATGTGAATTATATCTTAATGAAAATATTAAAATATAAATGATAAATCCAGGACACATTTGGTTCCGGAAAGGAATCTATGTTTAGAGGTCATATCTCTTCTTCAAACCTGGACCTTTCTGGATGGAAGCTCTACATATGGCTAACCTTAAAACATTTTAGAAAATACTATGCTTTTCTTTGGAGCATCTAAAATATGACTCTTCACCTTTTCAAGCTGTTTTTCTCTCACCGGCATGGTGGTTTTGTTCATTTATTTACTTATTTAGACATAAAGGGAACTGGAATAGCCATTGTACATTCAAAACTATGAGAGTAAATGACAGAATAAAGTTAATCTTGATTATTTGATAATCAGGTAAACTTTGTAACTAAAATAATGAACATTTCTAAGAGGAACTCTTTGTTGAAGAAAGGAACCTTAGCTAAAGAAAGGACTTTGTTTCCTAATTTCCTAATGTTTGTCAATTACAAGACCTATTTTTCTTCACTATTCTTTCCTTTTTGTCTGTCTGTTTCCTGAGGTCCTTATTTCTAGTGCTTCTAGCCTTAACATTTGGTTTGGTAAATCATAAAATTCATTAGCTTTGAATACTATAACTAGTTAGTGGAAAGGTAACTAGTTGAAATAAATTTGAAGTTTTGCATGTTTAAAGGTAAGATGCTTCATTTTTATGTTCAATACTGTATTCTTCTAAAATCCATAAAACCTGGGTTTAATATTTTACTACTTATTCTTGACACCAACACTGAGCTTTCACCCTTGTATGTCAGCATTTTTACTTGAGTATTATTGTCTGTGCTTCGAGAGTATGAAAATGATAACTCTGTGACATTCTGGATAATTCGGCCTTTACTGTAAATTCCTTACAGACTTCCTGCCTTCTTTGCTAATGAAAAGGAAGCAATGGTTACTTGTTGAAATTAGAGAACCATCAATGGTAAATGAGAAACTGTCACAAAGAGACTCCTATTTAGGTCCTTACCTGTTTCACTTTTTATGACAACAGATCATAAAAAGAAGCATCAGAAACCTTGTATTTACCAATGTCATAATTCTTAGTTTTGATTAATGAGAACAAACACTGAAAAGCATGGAGACATTTTGCTCCACGCTTTGGGAGCAAGATGTTTCTGATGAAAACTAAAAACAATGGATTGGCTCTTTCTGTTTTTCTCTTAACGTGTGATCCTGTATTTTTTTTTTTTTCCGGCCAGGTTTAAGAGCAGGACTAGCTGCCTCAATTGCTGGAAGTTCTATTATCAACAAAATGTTGCTAGCAAATATTGACCCTTTTGGTGCAACACCATTTATTGACCCAGATCCAGATTCAGTGTAAGAATATACTTTTGCATATATTTTGTTTTGGCTTTCCTTGTTTCTGTTTTATATGAATGGTAACATTTTAAATACATTACAATAAAAATAGTCCCACATCCAAAAAAAGAATCATCAGAAAATTTCAAAAGTTGATGATGATGAATACATTAACATATGTGAAATACAGTGGTTTTCATGATCTAAGGCAGGTCCCTTCCAGCTTGTAGTCTCGGATACCAACCCAGTGGCAAAGTGAGGCACAGCTGTATGCACTTTTCCCTGGAATGTTTTATTCATCAGTGCCTTCATAATCGTAATTTTTCTGTTCCTTTCACCTCATTTTTTTCTCAGCCTTGCCAATTCTGCCATCTTTCCACATTCAACATCCAGGTTTACTTATTTCAGGGAGTTTCTGGCTCACATTGATCCCTTCCCTTCTTAAAATTCCTTTAAAACATCAGTTGTTCAATATGTAGTGATACTTTGTTTTACTTCCATATTTAATTTTTCTTTTTTATGTCTCATTTCTCTAATGACTCTACTGAAAGACTGTACCACACTCCTTTTTACTTTTTTAAAGCGCCTAGAAGAAGGGACTAATCTAGTTGTTTTCTGCTTAATAAATACTCAATAAAAATACAAATGCGAAGGAGACTTTTTGACCAAAAAAAAGAGTATTAGCATCGGACTGTGAGGCCCTCTCATTTGTGTGTGTAGTGAGGAGCCTATGTAGGAAGTAGAAGAACTAAGGTTTTGTTACAATTAGTAGAAAAAGCATTACCACTATTGTCTTCACTTTCCCCTGCCCACAGTCCCTTTGGGTCACTTGTTCTGAAATTTACGACATGCTGGTGCATGCACATGGCACATAAATAGGAAATGATTCCTGCTAAACCTTCCTCTCTTCTATAAGAAATGTAAGCTTAAATGGTGTCAAGTGTTATTTTGTGTGCAAATTGTAATTGTTGTTATGAACCTGAAATTGACTTCCACGTACTTTTCCTTATTGTAGAGATGGCTATTCAGAAAAATGTGTCATGAACAATTACTTTGGGATTGGATTAGATGCAAAAATTTCATTAGAATTTAATAATAAGAGAGAGGAGCACCCTGAAAAATGCAGGTAATTTGGATAATAGTGATAATGTAATTACACAAAGGCAATTTTACTTTAATTTCATTTATTACCTCTTTGGCTCACTCTGCGTTTAAAGGGTAAATAAATAATGGTTACAGAAATTCTCTGCCAATGTTTATTTTCAGGAGCCGAACTAAAAACTTGATGTGGTATGGAGTCCTTGGAACTCGGGAATTATTACAAAGATCATACAAGAATTTGGAACAGAGGGTTCAACTTGAAGTAAGTTCATCTTGATAGTAAAGACATTTCAGATTATCTTGTAAGATTCATTTGTGGAGCTGATTTGGCCTTAACTGTTCTCTTGAATGGGCTAACCTGGTAGCTCAGATGGTAAAGAATCTGCCTGCACTGCAGGAGATTCCAGTTTGAACCTTGGGTCGGGAAGATCCCTTGGAGAAGGGCATGGCTACCCACTCCGGTGTTCTTGCCTGGAGAATTCCGTGGACAGACCAAGGTGTCACAGAGAGTCGGACATGACTAAGGGACATACTTAGGACATTTAGGGCACACTTTATTCTCTTGAATTCTCTTAAACACTGGAGGGAAAAAAAAAAAATGTGGTTTTCTACTCCATGCCAAAGGAAGTATTAGACACTGGATATGAGTGACACACCTAATTACTGTTATCATTAGATCCCGAAATTTAGATGTTTCTATGAAATTGAGGTTCCCCGTGAAAAGGCCAGACCATGGAAGTGTGTACATACACAGGATAGCATTTTTAAAATTTATTTATTTTTAATTGGAGGATAATTACTTTACATTGTTATGTTGGTTTCTGCCATACATCACCATTAATCAGCCATAGGGTATACATACGCCCCCTCCCTCTGGAACCTCCCTCCCAGGATAGCATTTTTATCAGATTTTTTTTTTTTTCATTTAAGTTTCCAAATTCTGACTTGATTCTATAATGCCTGAAGTTTCATAAATCCCTGAAAATACCATTCACAGTAAATAGAAGTTTTTAAGTTAAATGTATACTTCGTTGCAATTAATTCTAACAACAAGTTAATAAAATCAAAAGAGATTCTGAGCATTTACATTTTCTAGTATATATATATATTTTTACTAATTTAAATAGGATGATAAGGACAGCAAAAGTTCTTTAATCTGATAACAGAAAAAAGAGGATAAAGGACATGGCTCTGAGAAGTCTGCTGTGTATGTGTGTGGTTAGTCGCTCAGTCGTGTCTGACTTTTTGCAAACCCGTGGACTGTAGCCCGTCAGGCTCCTCTGTCCATGGGATTCTCCAGGCAAGAATACTGGAGTAGGTTGCCATCTCCTCCTCCAGGGGATCTTCCCGACCCAGGGATCCAGCATTGAAGGCAGATTCTTTACCCACTAAGCCACCAGGGAAGCCCCGAGAAGTGTACTCATTTCTTACAGTATTATTTTCTTTCACCTTTGGTCCAGAGCTCACTGTTTATGATGAAAGGCTTGTCTTTCCCATCTTGTATCTTTTTATATCCAGATATTTTAAGTTGAGGTATAGACTGCATACAGTGAAAGGGAAATTGTTTTCTCCAATTCTTTGTGACCCCATGGACTGTAGCCCGCCACACTTGCTCAGTCCATGAGATTCTCAAGGTAAGAATACTAGACTGGGTTGCTGTTTTCTTCTCCAAGAGATCTTCCCGACCCAGAGATCAAACCCCAAGTCTCCTGCATTGCTGTCTGAGCCACCAGGACAAATCTTAAGTCAACAGCTCAATGAATTAAACAGAATGTCTTTTATTTTAGTTATTATCTTAATAATGGGATATGGACTAGAGAGGTGGCTGGCTCATTCATTATCAACCAAATTTCCTAGCAAAAATAAACCTATTCTACCTGCCACTCTAGAGCACAGCTGTGTGATCCACTGTTTTGATTTATCATTGCTTATGAAATTAAGATATATGTTACTGGCTGAAAAGGTACAAAATCAGGAAGGCTCATACTCTGTAAATGCTATTGTTGGCCGCCCCATCCATCGCTCAACTTGGGTTCTTGCCTGTGGATTGCTTATGTAATCGTTTTCCTTATTCGTGTCCCCTAGTCAGCTACACTCTGCCTAAGGACGGGTAGGAAGTTGTGTTCATCTTTGTTAGCTTCATAAGCTTGCACAGGTCCTGGCCCTGACTCAAGAGGGAAACAGACAGGCAAATGATCATTTACATAATTTATTAAGCATTGTGTGGTCAAGACCCATAGCTGGCTATCTTTAGGATTTGGGGAACTATCCAGAAGGAGAATGGCTTGATTGCTTTATTTCTAGGAGAGCCTTCAGCTCTTCAGAAGTTCTGTTTCTGTCCTTTTTGATTGATGGTCCAAATTCTGAACAATATCCTACGCAGCTGCTTTGTAATCTCCATTAAGCAGAGGTTCTTAACACTTTTGACCTGTGAACCCTTTTGGCATGCTAGTAAAAACTATGGAACCCTTCTCGGAATATTGTTTTAAAACACTCTTTAAATATATATAGACACAAAATAAAATAAATTGAAATAAATTAACAAAATATTTTTAAAATGTTGTAGAGTAATATATGTGTTTCTTTATTGCTACATCAAATGACAAAAACCTAATGGTATATATAATAGTAAGTGTGGGCTTTCCCACACTTCCCCATCATGGTGGCTCAGATGGTAAAGAATCTGCCTGCAATGTAGAAGACCCAGGTTCAATCCTTGGGTCAGGAAAGTCCCCTGGAAAAGAGAATGGCAACCCATGCCAGTATTCTTGCCTGGAGAATTCCATAAACAGATGAACCTGGTGGGCTACAGTCCACGGGGTCTCAAAGAGTCAGACACCACTAAGTGACTAACACTTTCACACTTTTGCCATTACTTTTGAAGTAATGATGAACATAGATGATATTAAAAGATATCTGAAACGTCTGTGATATAATACAAAATATCTGTTTCTATTGTGATGAAGTCACAAGTACTGTATTGCCTTTGTGTGGCTTGTTGTCTACATTTATAATTGAGTGCGTTGCTAGATTTCAGAGGTTGCTGACTATGAGAGATGTGTTTTTACCATTCCACTTAACAGACCGTGAATCTATCCGTGGACCTTTGGTTTCTGAACCTCAGGTTCAGAACTTGATATAATTCTGACTTGATACGGAAGTTTATATTCAATGATTAAAACGAAAGTAAATTTAGGAAAACAAGATAAGTGAAAGCATCTTGTTAATATGAACAAAAGGTAAAGTAGAAAAACTAGAGAATTCTTTGCCAGAGTTAAAGATAAACAAACAAAACACCTGCTACTTCTGAAGTCCATGGAAGGTCCATTGTTTAAAAATTAATTTCCTTGGTGTTGGATCACTTGAGATAAAGGTGGAGAAGAGAGGTGCAGGGCTTAGGAAATTTTTCTCAGAAAGATCCCTTTTCATCAAGTGCCAGTCACTGGCCAAAAAAACCTCAACTTTTTGCTTGGGAGTCTGCCTTCCCCTGTTGTATTATATAGAAGTCATGTGTTGACTTTGAGTTTGCACAAAGCAAAGACCTTGGCCTTGGCTTCTCCGGCTGCAAAATGGATAAAATAATGCTTATGTGCAGAATTATAATTCATTGATACGAGAAATCACATTTTAAACTGTAAAGAATTATGCAAATATAAGCCCTGTTTCTCAAGCCATACACCCTGTGAATCTGATAGGTACTGAAGATTTATAACCTTTGGATGACATTTATAATCCTCTCTACAATCATGGGAATGCCAGAAATTTAGAATAACGTTGTAATATCAAATTTTGCAATTTTTAGAGCAGAAATACCTTTGACCTGTGAATGAAAAATGTCATTAAAATTCAAATTTTTTTCTTAAAGATGACTTTTTTTGTCCAGGTATACCTAATTTACGTGCATCAAGCAGCTTGTTCTAGATTTTAAGTGAAGTAATGATCAAATACTGTTTTGAGTCCTTTAAATACTAAGATACATGAAGGAGAAAAACAGTGTTCACCTGTAATCCTTAATAAAATATAACGAGTTGTTTAATCCACAACTTTTGTAATTTCACATATTTCCATAATCTCGTAACAGTTGTTTACATAATTTGTTAAAATTGACTTATTGTAATTTCTATTTTTGCTTAGTTCGTTCAATAATAATGATTATAGCTACATCTTAAGTCATGTTATATAATAATTGAAGGCTTCCCTGGTGGCTCAGTAATAAAGAATCCTTCTGCCAATGCAGGAGACGCAGGTTCAATCCCTGGGTCGGGAAGATCCCCTGGAGCAGGAAATGGCAACCCACTCTAGTATTCTTGCCTGGGAAATCCCATGGACAGAGGAGCCTGGCAGGCTACAGTCCATGGGGTCTGAAAAGAGTCAGACACGACTTGGTGACTAAACAGCAACAAAAATAATAATTGAAGCTTCCTGAATGTTTTCTACATACTGTGTTTTATACTTAAACTTTATGAGATAGTTATTATCATTCTTTATGAGGCAAGTATTATTATTTATTTCAGGAATAAATTTATTAAAATTTATTTCATTTAAAGTCAGTTACCTAACTAAGATCAAGCAGTTGGTACCTGGAGAAGCCAAAACTTCAACTCCAGTTTTTTCCCCCATAAAACAATTTATAATTAAAACTGAAAAAAGACATTTACTGACTCCCTAGTATGTGTATTAGATGTTTTCTTGTCCCTTACCTTGTTGGCCACACTATGGACTAAGTATTATTAGCCCATTTTCCAGATGAGCAAAATGAATCTCTGAAAGTCTAAGGCATTTGACCAAAGAAGTGACAGAATTCAAAACAGGCCCACTGTTTTCCCATATTTCCTAATGAAAGGAGCTGAAAAGCAAATACTAATCAGAAAAAAACTGTAACTGCAGTTTTAAAGCATTTTGCAGCATCATGAACAGTGGAAATATAAGATTAGAGAAGATTATACAAAAAGTATAACACTCCTGAACTTACTCCTGAATCTGAAAGAAATAGTTGAGTCAGGTGACCTTAATTTATTGAATCTCTACTGCTCATACTTTCCCTGAGACTATATGAAATGGACATTAAGCTCTTAACTCTGGGTGTTTTCCTAATGCATGTATGTTAAATTCAGCAAAGTATATGGAGCTTTTGACATTTCCATCTTATTCCATATTATGCTTGCAAATAGTATATTCGTTGATAAAATCTTTATAAAGACTGCTCTGAATTTTTTTAGTATTCCTTTTATATTTATGAAGATGTCATTTTTCCATTTCCTTTGTGACTCACATGACTTTTTTCTAAAGCACACAAAAATATTAGTTCAGTTGAGTTCAGAAAAGGTTTATTGTTCAACTAAATACTTCATGATCATTCATTTATCAAATACTCACGAGCACCTGCTATGTGCCAGGAACCACCCTAGGTACCTAGTACAGTGTGAACCTTTGACTATGTTGTCATGTAAAAGAAAAGAAAGGTTAAAAACACCTTGTGGAGGTTAGTATTAGGAAGTATTCGCAGTTATATAAAATTTTTGAAAAGTGGGTTCAAACCAGATTCTCATTTGTTCTAAAGGCTGAAGATCATTTTCATTGGGCATTAAAATGGAATTTTTATAAAATTATGTTAATTATTTTTTAATTTGAGAGTTAGTGAAAATACAGCATCTGTTTTAAGTATGACATCTGCAGACTCCTCGCTTTTAAAACAAAGGCTAAAACCTTCTCTTCAGCAAGAACTTACTCATGTGTGACTCAGTGGTAAAGAATCCGCCTGCCAGTACGGGAGATGCGGGTTTCGATCCCTGGGTCAGAAAGAGCCCCTCAAGAAGGAAATGGCAACCCACTCCAGCCTGGAGAATCCCATGGACAGAGGAGCCTGGTGGGATAAAGTCCATAGGGTCACAAAGAGTCAGATACAACTAAGCAACTAAGCATAGCACAGCATATTAAATACATATATATATATATATATATATATATATATATATATATATATAACTTTTTTAATCCACTTATCCATCAGTGAACACTGAGGTGGTTTATAAAACATGTTTTTTCAATTTGTTTTTCTGTAACAACTTCTGCCATAATTATTTACTCTGTTAAATGTTTTAAATTAAAAAAGAAGATAAAGATAATATGTAGGAATATATTTACAGGAAAGCTAATGTCACCACCCCTTTCGTCCATTGTCCTTTGTCTTTGGTCTTCTACTGTCTTCCAAACTTGTGGTTTTGCTTTTTGATCTGACCTCAGCTTTTGGCCTTACAGTGCGACGGGCAGTATATTCCTCTCCCCAGTCTGCAAGGAATAGCGGTGCTGAACATCCCCAGCTATGCCGGAGGCACTAACTTTTGGGGTGGAACTAAAGAAGATGATGTAAGTATTCCCTTGCTCTGTCTAGAAGTTGCCCACATTGCTTGGCATGAGGTCCCTCCCTCCGTCTCCATAGCTGATGGAGGCGGTTGAGTCCTTGTCACGTTGCATCACTCTGATCTCTTCTGCCTCCTGCTTCCACTTAAAATGACCTCTGTGATTACACTGGGCCCACCCCAATCATCCAGGATAATCTCCCCATCTCAAGGTCCCTAATTTAATCACATCTGCAAAGGCTCTTTTGCCATGTAAGGTGACATTCCAAGGTTCCAAGAATGAGGACACAGGCATTTTGGAAGTCAGGGAGGGGAATATTATTCTGCCTACCAAAATACTTTTCTGTACCTTTACTTTTCTAAATTTGTATTTTATTACTGTGATAATTTTTAGAAATGTCAAAGGGCTCAATTGGCCATTAAGGTATATGGCCATTTTTGTTTTTACTAAAAAAGAAAAAACACAACCTAAGAAGTGCACTTGTTCTAGAGATGAGACACTTATTAACGCATATATAACAATAAAAATGGGAAGTTTACCATGATCTTTGAAGAGTCACATACACTGAATGATAGGCCGTTTGACTTGAGGCTTATGATTGGCTCTCACTAAACCAGTTTCTCAGAGCTCTTAAATGTGCAGGCAGGGATTAAGGTGTAAAATAAATTGGAAAATATTTGTAATTCTCATAATATGAATGTATTCCAATCCTATTGGAGTATAGAAATTTAAATTAGCAACCAGTTATTTGTCAGCCCATCATCACTCTTAAATATTTCAAGGAGAAGAAATCAGTGAGATTGAGATAAATAAAGCTAATGTTTTTTGAACCCCTGCCAGGTAGGCAGACATTGTTCTGAGAGTTTCACATTCATAACTTAATAACTCACCTTTTAAAAAATACATGTATTTATTTAAATACATGTATTTAAAATGTATTTATGTTTTATTTGAAGGATAATTGCTTTACAGAGTTTTATTGTTTTCTGTCAAACAGCAATGTGAATCAGCCACAGGTGTACGTAAGTCCCCTCCCTCTTGAACCTCCTCCCAAGCTCCTCCCAGTCACCCCTCTAGGTTGATACAGAGCCCCTGTTTGAGTTCCTTGAGACATACAGCAAATTCCCGTTGGCTGTCTAGTTTACATATGGTATTGTAAGTTTCCATGTTACTCTCTTCATACATTTACCCTTTCTTTCCATCTCCCCATGTCCAAAAGTCTCTTCTCTGCGTCTGTTTCTCCATTGCTGCCTTGCAAATAAATTCATCAGTACCATCCTTCTGGATTTCATATATATACATTAGTATATGATATTTATCTTTCTCTTTCTGACTTACTTCTCTTTGTATAATAGGCTCTAGGTTCATCTGCCTCATTAGAACTGACTCAAATGCGTTCTGTTTTATGGCCAAGTAATATCCCATTGTGTGTATGTAAAACAACTTCCTTATCCATTTATCTGTCAATAAACATCTACAGAACATCTGCTTCCATGTTCTAGCTATTGTAAATAGTGCTGCAATGGACATTGGGATATATGTATTTTTTTCAATTTTGGTTTCCTTGGGTATATGTCTTTGGTATATGCCTGGAAGTGGGATTGCTGGGTCATATGGTGATTTTTATTCCTAGTCTTTTAAGGAATCTCCATACTGTCTCCCACAGTGGCTGTACCAATTTACACTCCTACCAACAGTGCAAGAGGGTTCCCTCTTCTCTGCACCATCTCTAATATTTTTTGTTTGTAGACTTTTTGATGATGGCCATTCTGACTGGTGTGGGCTGATACCTTGTAATTTTGATTTGCATTTCTCTAATAATGAGTGATGTTGAGCATCTTTTCATGTGTTTGTTAGCCATCTGTCTTCTTTGGTGAAATGTCTGTTTAAATCTTTTTCTCACTTTTTGATTAGGTTTATTTTTCTGGCATTGAGTTGTATGAGCTGCTTGTATATTTTAGAAATTAATCCTCTGTCAGTTGTTTCATTTGCTATTATTTTCTCCCAAACCTTAGAAAGGTTTGTCTTTTCATCTTGTTTATAGTTTCCTTTGCTGTGCAAAAGCTTTTAAGTTTAAATAGGTCCCACTTGTTTACTTTTGTTTTTATTTCCAATACTCTAGGAGATGGATCTTAGAGGATCTTGCTTTGATTTATGTCATCAAGTGTTCTGCCGATGTTTTCCTCTAAGAGTTTTATAGTTTCTGGTCTTACATTTAGGTCTTTAATCCATTTTGAGTTTATCTTTGTGTATGGTGTTAGGAAGTCTTCTAATTTCATTCTTTTACATGTAGCTTTCCCAGCACTACTTATTGAAGAGGCTATCTTTGCCCCATTGTATATTCTTGCCTCCTTTGTAAAAAATAAGGTACCCATAGGTGCATGGGCTTATTTCTGGGCTTTCTGTCTTGTTCCATTGGTATATATTTCTGTTTCTGTGCTAGTACCACACTCTCTTGATGACGGTAGCTTTGTAGTATAATCTGAAGTCAGGAAGGTTGATTCTTCCAGCTCCATTCTTCTTTCTCAAGACTGCTTTGGCTTTTCGGGGTCTTTTGTGTTTCATATGGATTGTGAAATTTTTTGTTCTAGTTCTGTGAAAAATGCCATTGGTAATTTGATAGGGATCACATTGAATCTGTAGATTGCATTTGGTAGTATAGTCGTCACAATATTGATCCTTCCTACCTAGGAACGTGGAACATCTCTGCAACTGTTTATGTTATCTTTGATTTCTTTCATCAGTGTTTCACAATTTTCTGTATACAGTTCTTTTGTCTCCTTAGGTAGGTTTATTCCTAGACATTTTATTCTTTTTGTTGCAATGGTGAATGGGGTTGATTCCTCAATTTTTCTTTCTGATTTTTCATTGTTAGTATATAGGAATGCAAGTGATTTCTGTGTATTGATTTTGTATCCTGCGACTTTGCTAAATTTACTGATTAGCTCTAGTAATTTTCTGATAATATCTTCAGGGTTTTCTATGTATAGTATCATGTCATCTGCAAACGGTGAGAGCTTTACTTCTTCTTTTACAATCTGGATTCTTTTATTTCTTTTTCTTCTCTGATTGCTGTAGTTAGGATTTCCAAAACTATGCTGAATAATAGTAGCGAGAATGGACACCCTTGTCTTATTCCCGATCTTAGGGGGAATGCTTTCAGTTTTTCACAATTGAGTGTTAGCTGTAGGCTTATCATACATGGCTTTACTATGTTGAGGTAGGTTCCTTCTGTGCCCATTTTTTGAAGAGTTTTAATCATAAATGGGTGCTGAATTTTGTCAAAGGCTTTTTCTGCATCTATTTTTAGATTATCATATGAATACCCACAATTTTTATCTAAATTTTATTAATGAAGAAACTGATATAGTGTTTACACCGTTCATAAGTGGAGGAGACAGAGTTTAAAACCAGGCAGTCTGATAACAAAGTTCCCAAATTTGTGTCCTGAGATTTTCAGTAAAAGTTTTAATTATGATACTACTTTACATTGAATATTTTTTCAGAGGTATAAGTATGTATGATACAATAAAAACAGGGAGTAAAAGGAACAAAGTAATAGAGCTGAAATTTAAAGTTTTTAGGTTAATTTTGTGAAAATACATTTAACATCAAAGCAAAGTAAGCCCACGTGTTTTCATCTTCTGAGATTTCTTTTCATGTTCTTAAGTGCCCTAAAAAGTTGTAGTAAGATATATAATAAAGCACATACAGATACTGCTTGTAACACCTTGAAAAATTTCCCTTAGAACATATCAAGTGAACTTGATTGCAATTTCCATGTTCATTACGTTTAATTTTATGAAATCTGCATCACTTTTTGAAATTTTGAAGTTTCCTAAAATTACTTGCATCATTTTATTGAATACCTGAGTTATGTATGAACAGATATTTAATACATCTTATACCAAGACGGGGCTTTCCAGATGGTGCAGTGGTGGACATTAGCTTTAATTTTCTGAAATCTGCATCACATTCTGAAATTTTAAAGTTTCCTCAAGTACATGCATCATTTAAATGAGATTCCTGAGTTATGTATGAACAGATATTTAGTACATCTCATGCCAAGATGGGGCTTTCCAGGTGGTGCAGTGGTAAAGAATCCTCTGGCCAGTGCAGGAGAAACGAGACGCAGGTTCCATCCCTGGCTCGGGAAGATTCCCCAAGTAGGAAATGACAGTGCACTCCAGTATTCTTGCCTGGAAAATTCCATGGACAGAGGAACCTGACAGGTTACAGTCCATGGGGTTGGAAAGAGTCAGACATGACTGAGCACAGCACGCGTGCACACACACACACAGAGGTGCACACACACACCAAGATGAATTATTTGGAAATATATTAGTTCACTCTTGTCAAGGTTGCTTTATAAGAGGGGCATGAGTATTACATCCATGGGTTTTCAAACCTTTATTATATTTATTTTAAGCTCTCTTCAGTGATTAATTTTGTCCTTGAAGTATCATTTACTGATAATATTTGCTTACTTTTCTGTTTCCTACTTTTATATATTTTTAAAAATATGTATGTTGCAGGATTTACATTGCTTGGTGTGCCATTTCATTTAAACTTTAACTGTACTAGTGAAAGTGTAATGTGTTTTTCTTTCAGATATTTGCTGCACCATCATTTGATGACAAGATCCTAGAAGTCGTTGCAATATTTGACAGCGTGCAAATGGCCGTTTCAAGGGTCATTAAACTGCAGCACCATCGAATTGCGCAGGTTGGTTTCCCTACTGAAACCCGACTTCACTACTTGTGTGCATGTGCTAAGGCAATTCAGTTGTGTCTGACTCTGTGCAACACTCTGGACTGTAGCCCGCCAGCCTCCTTTCTCCATAGAATTCTCCAGGCCCAAATACTAGAGTGGGTTACCATGCCCTCCTCAAGGGGATCTTCCCGACCCAGGGATCAGACCCGTGTCTCATACATCTCCTGCATTGGCAGATGGGTTCTTTACCACTAATGCCAGCTGAGAAGCCCTCACCGCTTGGGCTGTTGAGAAGCTATTCCAGTGACTTGTACACTGTATATTCATCTAAAAAATAATGGGCTTTCTTGTTATTCCAGTTGTTACTGTGTCATCCTATGTGGAAAAGCATAACATCCCATTCCACAGAATGGACTAAGAGTGAACTTTGAATACAAGATTGAGTGTCAGATGAGTTGTACTCTGAAATAACTCGTTTTATTTCAGTGCCGTACAGTAAAAATCACCATATTTGGTGACGAGGGGGTCCCAGTACAGGTGGACGGAGAAGCATGGGTTCAGCCTCCAGGGATTATCAAGATCGTGCACAAGAACAGAGCTCAGATGCTCACCAGGGACAGGGTACGTAACCGAAAATAAGTCCTTCTCCAGTCTGTTCAACCTGTGAAAAGTAAATAGTCATGAAAAACACAAACCTAGGGAAAAGATTTAACTTGTCTTTTAGGTCTGCCATTTAGATCATTCTGGTTCAAAAGTATGAAAAAAATATTTATTTAGTTCTTAAAATAATTTCTTCTTTTGGGTTTAGAGAAAAATTGAGCAGAAACTGTAGAGAATCCTGTTTCTGTTCCCACATACGTCCTCACCTCCCTGACAAGCACATGAATTTCCCTATTATATTTCCCTATTCTGTTCCCCTTAATATCTTGCTTTAGTGTGGTGCATTTATTACAGCTGATGAACCACTATTGATCCATTATTATTCACTGAGGTAATAGTTTGTGTTCTACATTCTATAGGTTTTGACAAATGTATAATCATTTGTGTCCACAGTTACAGATTCATGCCCAATAGTTTTACTGCCCCAAATACTCCTGTCCTCCACCTCACATCCCTCCCTCCCTCATCCCAACCCCTGGCTCCCCCATCCTCTTCTGTCTTTACAGTTATGCCTTTTCCAGAATATGTATTCTTAATTAAGGTCACACCCATAACAAGTAAGACTACAGCATCCATCCTGTTTGTTATACATACAAAGGTAGATATTGAAGCATAAGTTGAAGCTTTTTAAAGACTTTCTGACGTAATGATCATCAGTTACATTACTTTTTATTTGTTGTAATATATGAGAAAACTTTAAAATATCTTCTCCGTCCTTGTGATATATTTCATGAAGTGTTAAGATTAGGAAAAAAGTAATAGTAGTTTTAAAGCCATTCGTGTACTATCTTAAGTACACATTTATTTGTGTGTGTTTAGCTCTAAGCGCACAGTTCATTGCCGTATTGATTTTAAATAGGCCTTTGAAAGCACCCTGAAGTCTTGGGAAGATAAGCAGAAGTGTGATTCCTGTAAGCCAGTTCATCGAACGAACTTCTTCATCCAGCAGGCGGCGGACCTGGCCACGGAGGAAGTGTCTCAGATGCAGCTGTGCTCGCAGGCGGCCGAGGAGCTCATCACCAGGTACCCGAGCGCCGCCGGCCTTGCGGCTGCGAGAACGCCGCGCGAGGCCCGTTCTGCTGTCCATAGTTTTAACCCGTCTCTGCGGTGGTTCCACGTCTCCGGAAGGAACACCCCTGTTCTCCTCCATTTGCTGCCGCCCTTGGGCGTCAGTCATCCCTGTTCCTCTTCATCAGTCCCCTCCGACACCGCGTGCACACCCAGGCCGTGTCTCAGACTTCCTGAAACACACGGGAGAGCTTGCCTAGTGTACACTCTTGTCATTTTATATATTTTGCGTTTTGTGTATGTGCTCAGTCGCTTCCGTCGTATCCGACTGTTTGCGACCCCATGGACTGTAGCCCGCCAGGCTCCTCAGGCCGTGGGGTTGTTCTGGCAAGAACACTGGAGTGGGTTGCCATTTCCTTCTCCAGGGTGTCTGCCCCAACCAGGGATCGAACCCGTGTCTCCTGCATGGCAGTTGGCTTCTTGACCATTGAGCCACCTGGGAAGCCCTATTTTACAGATGGCACTAGTGGTAAAGAATCTGCCTGCCAAGGCCAGAGATGTAAAAGATGTGGGTTCAACTCCTGGGTGGGGAAGATCCCCTGGAGAAGGGCCTGGCAACCCACTCCAGTGTTCTTGCCTGGAGAACCCCATGGACAGAGGAGCCTGGCGGGCTACAGTCCATGGGGTGGCAAGAGTCGGACACAACTGAAGCAACTTAACACATATAAAACATCTATGTATGTATATGTATATTATATATATAACCCTTCTGTTATTGTTTCCCACTTTACAGGCTTTACTGTGTGTGTGTGTGCCCAGTCGTGTCCAACTCTTTGTGACCCCCACAGACTGTAGCCCACCAGGCTCCTCTGCCCATGAAATTCTCCAGGCAGGAACACTGGAGTGGGCTGCCACGCCCTTCTCCAGGGGATCTTCCCGACCCAGGGATCGAACCCAGGTCTCTTGTGTCTCCTGCATTGGCAAGCAGATTCTTTACCCGTAAGCCACCCAGGAAGCACTCTTTACATTACATTACTGACTTATATGGTGCTTTGTAATTATTAAATGTTTATAGGATATAGAAGGAAATACAAACATTAACCCAGCTCCCAAGAAGAGTCAGGGGGTGGGGATGGGTGGGAACAGTCCAAAAATCTGTTTCCAGTAGATACATCATGGACTTTGCCAGACCACCGAAATTAATTTTAGGAGACAGAAGATTAAAAAAAAAACAACAGTTCTGTGAACATAAAGCAGATAAAAATCACTATGACCAGGATTAAACTTCAAAGATGAAGAGGGACCACAGGCATGTGTCTTTTCGCCTCCTCACCCAAATCTCATCTACCCAACGTGGGTAAGAGCTGCCTGACCAGGTCACTGTGCAGGTTAAGTGGGACCCGCCATGGGAAGCGCTGTTGGCGCAGCAGGTCTGGCATATTCGGTGTTCTGTGCATGATTGCTGTTATAGTCTTCCCGCACTGCACCTGGTCACTGATCAAAATGCTGGAATAGAAAAGAAGACAAGCAAAGCTTAGGAGCCCGAGGAGCCAACTTGCTTGCTCTCCCCTCCCCACCCTCTCCATCCGCTCTCTCTCACTCATTCCTTATTTTCCTCTTTAAATATGTGTTAGATGCCCAGAGTGTGCTACATGTTAGAGATATGAAAAAAGATACATACTCCCTACTGCTGGAGACCAGTATTTAAAATTTTAGAATAAAGGATGATAGCTGTAAGATACTGAGTAGCTTAGGAAAAAGATAAGGAGAAATATTAATATTTAATATTAATATTTAATTAATTAAAATTTAATTAATATTTAGCCAGCTAAATCCACATAACTGCATTATTATGCATCTCAGCTTCTTATCCACAGACATAGTAGGTTTTTTTTTTGTATTTTTTTAAAATTCTTTTTTTTTTTCATTTATTCTTATTAGTTGGAGGCTAATTACTTTACAATATTGTAGTCTTTTTTTGCCATGCATTGACATGAATCAGCCATGGATTTACAGACATAGTAGTTTTAAGGTAAATACATCTTAGATACTGTGAACATCTTCTGTTGACTTCAATTTACAGAAGTTTTTGTGTTTTTTTCTTTTTTCCTGGCTTTAGTGAGGTACAATGGACAAATAAAAATTCTATACTGTATATTTAAGGTATGCAGTGTGATGATTTGACATACATATACACTGTAAAATAATTAATACAATCCAGCTAATTAATACATTATGGAAAGCAGTATGGAGTTTCCTTAGTTTTCTTGAAACTAAAGCATGCTCCCTTGAAACCACAGTGTTCTTCCTATATGATCATCCTGTCAACCAACCAAATATCCTTATCCAAAAAAAAGCCGGGGGTGGGGGGCGGGGACATGATTCCCCATCAGCCAGTAAACCAGGCTCACTCATCAATTTTCAGAATGCGTATTCATTTGAAAAAACAGGAAAGTGAAAGTTGGTCTCATAGTCGGGTCCAGCTCTTTCTGACCCCATGGACTGCAGCCTGTCACACTCCTCTGTCCTTGAAATTCTCCAGGTAAGAACACTGGAGTGGGTGACCATTCCCTTCTCCAGGGGATCTTCTTGACTCAGGGATCGAACCCAGGTCTCCTGCATCGCAGCAGATTCTTCACCATCTGAGCCGCCAGGGAAGCCCATACCTAGTAGGAAGTTCAGTTAGCAGTTGGAAATGTTCCCTTGGTGCTGATTACTTTCTTTTGCCTTGAAAATTAGAATAACATTTACTCATCTCTGTTCTCCTGATTAATAACCTTTTCCTCATGATTTCAAGATTATTGATAAGGATATTTAGGTGATGTTTGCAAGTTCCTTTGTGTCTTGGATATCAGTCATATGATCCTTAAGAATTAAATTCCTTCCTTTTGCTCGTGACTCAGCCATGGAGGACTTCTGTCTCTTCCTTTGTTCTTCCCTTTCTGGATTGAAGATCATTCTCCTTGAAGATGTCAGAGCAAAAGGATTAAAATAGATATACCTTCTTGCTTATTGTACACCTTGCTCATTTTCTAGCAGTCAGTAGAATTTCTCCTTTATCTTCTTTGACCTTACTGCCCTGCCTTTATAGATGCTCTCTTTCTAGGACTGTTCTTGAAAGTCTAGATTCCAAAGGACTGTGGCACAACAGGCTTTGGCATTGGATAGACAAAAACTAAAATCCAGGCTCTATCACCGATTAGCTTTGTGTACATACTAATGTTCTCTGAGCCTCATATGTCGTCATCTGCAAAGTGGAGATAAACCACAACTACCTGTTAGGTTGTGAACATTAAATTAGATAATGCATATAAAGCACTTAGCATGATGATATATGTGGCAATGTTTCCCCCTAACTCCAATACTTTGGCCACCTAATGCAAAGAGCTGACTCATTTGAAAAGACCCTGATGCTGGGAAAGATTGAAGGTGAGAGGAGAAGGGGACGACAGAGGATGAGATGGTTGGATGGCATCACCGACTCAATGGAAATGAGTTTGGGTAAACTCTGGGAGTTGGTGATGGACAGGGAGGCCTGGCGTGCTGCAGTCCATGGGGTTGCAAAGAGTCGGCAGGACTGAGCCACTGAACTGAACTGACTGAATCTGTTGTAACTGCCTGGTTGAAGTTTCAGTGAATAAAAGATGTGTCTGCACTCTACATTTGGGACCCCTCTCAACTTTCCAGCGATAAAGCAAAATGAAGTGTTACTGTATCTTGTGCTTCCAAGTAGCACCTTGGTATGCGTTATCTCTGATGCTAGGCCTAACATTTTTTTCAATTTAATTAATTTATTTTTGGCTGCACTGGGTGTTCATTGCTGCACACAACTCTGTCTAGTTGCAGCGAGCAGGGGCTCCTTTTTGTTGCAATGTGCAACAAAGAATTACGGCAGCTTCTCTCGTGGAGCATGGGCTCTAGGGTGCGCGGGCTTCAATAGTTGTGGCATTTGGGCTTTATTAATTGCCCCAAGGCATGAGGAATCTTCCCAGACCAGGGATCAAAGCTGTGTTTGATCTGCATTGGCAGGAAGATTCTTAACCGCCCAGAGAGTCCATAGGCCTAACTTTTTATATAAAAGATTTGGGGGTTGGTATTTTTTGTTTCCTGGTGGCTCGATGGTAAAGAATCTGCCTGCAATCTGGGCTGCCCAGGTTCGATCTCTGTGTTGAATCTGGGATCCCCTGGAGGAGGGTGTGGCACCCCACTCCAGTGTTCTTGCCTGGGAAATCCCACGGACAGAGGAGCCTGGCGGCCTCAGAGTCGCAGAGTCAGACACGACTGAGCAGCTAACACACACACACATTTTTTGTTGCAGTAGGGTAGGGTTTGAATTTTGTAAATCTACCCTGTGCCATTCATAGTTGAGCACTTATTAAAAAAAATTTTCCTTTCATGATCTTTTTTTACTTGTTTTATTCTACCATTTCTACACTTCAGAAGACTCAAGCAGTGCTCGGAAGAGTGGTGTGTTCATGGGTCTTGTTTCTGCTTCCAGGATCTGTGATGCGGCCACCATCCACTGTCTCTTGGAGCAGGAGCTGGCCCACGCGGTGAACGCCTGCTCCCACGCCCTGAACAAAGCCAACCCACGCTTCCCAGAGGTGAGGAGCTAATGGTAAATGCCCATTCCGCACATTTTTTTGGTGTTACGTACAGAGCTTGATACTTGCCACACGCTTTGAAAGAACACAGTATAGTCTATATGAGTCTCTACCAAAAGCTTACCGTTCACTTTTGACCAAAGTTTTCTTGATTTTCTTTTCCTGCCACCATTTCCCACTCCTGCTCTAAAGTTCACTTCACCTTTTTCCTATTTCACTTTGACTCACTTAAGATAGCACCTTACCATCTTCCTTGTACTCCTTCTCCTTTTAAGTATTTACCATTTTTATTTTTTACCTTCTCCCCTGCACCTTCACACAGGGCACACCTAGGTATCATGCATTTAACTAGAACTGATCACTCAGTGTTGAAGTTGTCTTCATTTCATTTTACTGCATCAGTAAATCTGGTCAGTTTTCTAATGTAGAAGTTACAATAGGTGGATGGAGTCTAACTCTTGAAGTTATATTCACTTGCCAAGTGATACATGTCTTTGTTTTTATCCTTTCAGTTATTTAGCTGAAGTTACCTAAGTGAGTGTAAAAAGAAGTGTTTGTCCTCAAAATGAAAGTCTAGAAATCAGTCTGGTTGGTTGGACCTAATGAGAGTGAAATTCAGTGCATAGAACTAATCATGATCAGATAATGTCCCTCTTAAGACATAATTTTCTTTGACTTAATTCTCGTGGGAATGTGTGTCTTTTGTCACGAGCATATGCATGCTTGTGTGCCCGAGATGTGGTTCTGTGTGTATTCACTACAGTCACCATATTCTTTTGGTTCTGTGCTGTAAGAAGTAGAAGAGGTAATCCTGCCAACAAATGTGAGTGTGAGATTTTGCAGTTACAAGAGTATTTTGGCAGGTTTTTAAAAATATTTGCAATGTGGATTTAAATCAGAAAGGTAAAATGGACTCTTTGATGATTGAATCTCAATTTAATACAGAACTACTTGTCTTTGATGCCTCTGTTTTTTGTTGTTTGTTTTTTTTTCCTAGAGTCTTACAAGAGACACTGCCACAGAAATAGCCATCAATGTGAAGGCCCTATATAATGAAACAGAATCTTTGCTAGTGGGCAGGGTTCCTTTGGTAAGGAAAAGAAATGATGGATACCATCAGAATGATGATAAATGTATGGTTCTTGCCTTCATTAGGGAGCATGCATTCATCAGATTTTAATGCACAGGCAGGCTCTGGCCACCATCTCTAGAGCTTCCCTATCACCTCGCTTTTGCTTTCAAGAAACTATATGGCTGTACCTGAGAGTTAACACTTCAGGCTAACAGGAGGAGAGGGCTTCCCTCATAGCTCAGTCAGTAAAGAATCTGCCCGCAGTGCGGGAGACCCAGATTTGATTCCTGGGTGGGGAATATCCCCTGGAGAAGGAAATAGCAACCCACTCCAGTATTCTTGCCTGGAGAATCCCATGGACAGAGGAGCCTGCTGGGCTTCAGCCCGTGGGGTCACAAGAGTCAGAGACGACCTTGCAACTAAACCACAGCAGGAATAGAGTTTCCCTGTCATCATATCTTTATATAATCCTGCTCTCCCCAGTAAGCTTTGAGAATCTTGGGCTTTATAGAGAGTGAGACCTTCTTCAAGGACTCATTAACCCATGAATGCAGAAAAGTAGAGGAAGTCTTGAGCTGTGTCCCCAAAATTAACCTTTGAAATATGATTGTTAACTGTTTTCTAGATTAGCTTAGATGATGCTTTCTAGAGTCGGTGTGTCCAGAACTAAATTTCAGGAACTAGACCTAGCCCTGGATTAACTCAAGATTGGTGCTGGAAATCGAGTTGAGGCCAAGTGTGAATCAGACCACAGTCCATGGACCTCAAACCTAAGTGCTAGGATTCTGTAGACGTTTCTGTTTGGTTTGCCCAGAATCCTTCCCTTGTTATTTTCCTGCCTCACCCTGGAAATGTTCTAGCATTGGGTCCTTTCGCCACCTAGTGTTCAATTTTAGGTTATTCACACATGATGTTGTAGATGTAGAAAGCCTAATATATTAGCTATTTTTTAATTCCTTGTAACAGTTTTGATTAATTGATAGATGAGGTGATGATCTTAAAACATTTCTCTTTACTATAATTTTACCTCTTGCTGGGGAAAATTTATACATCTAAATAGAAGTGAGAATAAAAATCATAGTATCTGGCATAGTGAAAGAATGAGAGAGGTGATCCATAGCCTAGCTAACTGGAAGTGATTGGTTGGAATTTCTGTTTGGCTGCTGTTCAGAAGAATATTGCCATTGAAGCGTCCTTTGCTCTGAGAAGAGAATCTTAAAGGCTGCATGAACCAATTGGTTTTACCCACTTCCAAGGGAAACTCAAGAGCACCTTCCTTGGGGCAAGAGGTGGCTGCCTCTGCTATGGTTGTGAATAGAAACTTTTAGGAAGAAATCTTGGATGTATCTTTTGACAAAACCAATAGGAAAATCATCTTGGTTATTCTTGGCACTTCTATTTTTAACCAGAATCTTCTTGCTGCTCTTCTAAAATTAGTCCTATAGGAAATCCAGCAAGTCATGACCTCAGTACCAATTACTGGATGAAGGACATGTTTTTTGTGTGTTATTTGAAGTATATTTAAGATAATTGCTGATTGAGAAGAACTAGAAGCATCACTTATATTTTCACTTTCTATACTGAAAGTACCCATTGAGTGTTACTTGGTTAATAGTAATCAATTATATTTTGTTAATATAGAAGGATTCTTCTGCACTTTTAATTCTTCTGTCATAGTCAAATATGGATGTTTGGTTTGAAGATGTACACCAGTGAAATTTTTATTTTTTGACTATACTGCACCGCTTGTGGAATCTTAGTTCCCTGACCATGGACCAAACTTTGGTCCACGGCAGTGAAAGGATACGTCCTAACTGCTTTACCAGTGGATGATTTTTTAATGTTTGTCAATATTGATATCAAAAGAAAAAATCAATCATATTTGAGAGCAGCTAAGTTACACTCCTTATTTTGCTTATAAAATGAATGTAGCCAATGAAGGAGACATAAGAGAAATAGGTTCAATCCCTGGGTCAGGAAGATCCCTTGGAGGAGGGCATGGCAACCCACTCCAGTATTCTTGCCTGGTGAATCCCATGGACAGAGGAGCCTGGCGGGCTGCAGTCCACAGGGTCCCAAAGAGTCGGATACAACTGAAGCAACTTAGCACATACAATTACTATTTTATCAGTTTTTATAAGACATATATACTTAGACTAAAATAAAAGTGGTAATTTTTATATGATATGGTGGAGAATTTCTGTATTTTTATTAACTTCTAGAAATACTAGAATTTGAATAACAGAGGGGATTTGAGAGCATTTGAATAACAGAGGGGAAAAAATAATGTGCATAATAAATAATAGTAATCTCTCTGAACTTGCAGTTTAAAATCTTGAGAACCAGAACTTCACTGGTGTTCGAATGGTTAAGACTATGCTTCTCCTGCAGCGGGTGTGGGTTCCATCCCTATTTGGGGAACCAAGATCTCGCATGCCTTGCAGTGTGACAAAAATAAATAAATTCAATCCCGTGAACCTATATATAGGTACTGTGCAATTCTGACATCATTTATCAAAGTTCAATTTGCTGGAAGAGATCCTCGAATTGTGTAGTCATGTTCTACTGTTTACCAGCTGGGCCACAAGGGAAGCCCAAGAATACTGGAGTGGGCAGTCTGTCTCTTCTCCAGCGGATTTTCCCGAGCCAGGAATTGAACCAGGGTCTCCTGCATTCCAGGAGGATTCTTTATCAACTGAGCTATCAGGGAAGCCTGAGAAGGAAACTGAGACTCCTCAAATCAATTCATCATCCCTTGGGGGCATAGTTAGTAACAAGGCCAAGGCTAGCATTCAGTTGCCTCCCAATTCTGCTTGTAGCAGTGTTGATTTCACCTTTATTTATTGAATTTGTGACTTTTCATAACTGCTTTACGGACTTCCCTGGTGGTCCAGTGGTTAAGACTCCAAGCTCCTAATGCAGGGGGCAGGGGTTTGATCAATGGTCAAGGAACTGTTCCCCATGCTGCCCCGTGTAGCCAGAAAATTTTTAAAAATAGTGATGATAAGTGCTTTAAATGAATGGGCAAGAGGTGACCAGTTAAATTCTCTTTAGTTTCCAAACCTTCTTTCAGTTTATAAGCCATTTAGCTTTTCCTGATTTGTACAACAGCTTTTTATCACCAATTTTTCTGAGATCCATAGGCTTTTTTTCCCCTAAATTTATTATTTTAGTTACCCAGAAGATTTTTGTGGCAGGTGATTCTTATTATGTGACATGTTTTTGACCAATTTGAAATATCATTATTTGTTTACACTGTAGCCTATGTAAATCAAAATGATTTTTGCCACAAATAAGTTAAAATGATGAGATTATTTACTAGCAAGGCAGATGGGATGCAAGGATAAGAAGGAAGAAGGGATTTGCATAGGAAAAAACCACCAGTAGCAATAGTTTTTTCTGTAAAATTATTAACGTCACACCAGTTGCTTATATCACCTTTGGGAAGTGAGGATCAATCTATGCAAATTTGCTTAAATGAAGTCAGTATAAAATAATTTGTTCTTTTTTCTCTATTTGTGTTAAAACCAACAACACTCTAGTCTTGCCTCATAAGAGGTGAGAATGTTCAGTGTCAATGAAATAGTTTATTCTGTTTGAGGGTTTGAGGATGGTCTCTGAGGCTTGTTTTATCTCAGTTTTTAATCTGCTGTTAAATAGCAATTGGAATCTCCACATGAAGAGCGAGTATCCAACGCCTTACATTCCGTGGAAGTGGAGCTACAGAAGTTAACAGAAATTCCGTGGCTTTATTATATCTTACACCCAAATGAGGATGAGGTATGTAAAATTCAACCTGTTTATAAATGTGTGCACTTTGTGACAATAGAATTTGAATGCACCTTTTGAAAAAGAAATGTTCAGGAGAAAATACATTTTAAATATAGCCATCCTCCCCTATCTGCAGGAAGTACATTCTAAGACTCCCAAGGGACCCCTGGAATCTCAGTAGCAAATCCTACATGTACTATGTTTTTCCTTACACAGACATACCTAGGATAAAGTTGAATTTATAAATTAGGCACAGGAAGACATGAACAACAACAATAATAAATAGAACAATTATAACAATACACTGTAAGAAAAGTTACGTGAATGTGGTCCATCTCTCAAAATATCTTCCTGTATAGGTGTCACGCCTCTTCCATATTGGCTGAGCATGTCTCATGCACTGTGGCTGTAACCTTTGCAATCTAAGATGTAACAGCAAAACTAGCATGAATTTTTTCTTCCTTCTTCACAGTTTCACAGACAGAAGATTCATTCTTACCATAGATCTTAGCCAGCTCAGCATACGATTTTTTTTTCCTTATTATGTTAAGAACTGTCGTCTTTTCATTAAAGGAAGCACTTTACAGCTTCTCTTTAGCATATCTGAATTGCTAGCATCACTACTTTTGCTCTTTGGCACCATTATTAAGTAAAATAAGGTGACTTGAACACAAGCACAGTGGTACCACAACACCTGGTCGGATCATTCAGATGGTTCCGAAGGAACTAACAGACGGGATGGATGAGGATGGCTCTGCTTCTCAGAGCAGTGTACAACTTAAAACTTGTATGAATTATCTATTTCTGCACTTTTCACGTCGTGTTTTCAGGACGAGGTTGACAGCAGATAACAAAAACCACGGAAAGGGAACCACACTACTGTCCTAGTCAGGGCGACTACTGTCTTCCTTTCAAATGCACTTTTCTTGAGCAAATGAGAAAAAGCTTTTATGTGAACAAAGGCATCTTGCAGGAATCAGTACATTTTCAGGAGTATGCAACATCATGAACTTTTGGGGAGGGAGTTATCACTCCAACAGTGTTCTGTGGGTATAACCTATTCCTATGTTATCTCTGCTGTCAGAGTGGGTTTTTCTTCTCCATGAATATCCTAAGAAAATTCTTTCCTTGATTGACTCAAACAGGAGCCCCCCATGGATTGCACCAAGAGAAACAGCAGAAGCACGGTATTTCGTATTGTGCCCAAATTCAAAAAGGAGAAGGTTCAGAAGCAGAAGACAAGTTCACAGCCTGGTAGGTGATCCACATGGAAAGAGAAAGTGTAATGTTATGAAAAAAATAACAGATGAACGTGATATCATTGAGGGGATGAGAACGAGCTGAGATTAGAGAGTGATAATCATTGTACCACATTATGGATGTCCTTATAAATAGCTTTTATGGATGTACTTATAAATGGCATTTATGCTATTGAATCACATAGTATAAAATGGTTTAAGTAGTGAATCTCATTTTATGTTCACTTCACCATCATACGGAAAATCATAGCACACCTAAAATAAGTCCTATTGTGAGCAGGAGTCTGTAGTCATGAAGAACACAAGACTCAGAAGTGGTTTGCTGACTTGCTTCTGCTGTATTGTGTAAATGTCAGCACCCCTGTCGATGGTTCTTCATCTTGCTCAACAGCAGCTCAAGGCTTATAATTAGTTTTCCTTCTTTAGCATGCACAATCTGTCTCATTTTGACAAATGGAACGTAGAAGCTTTCGTTTAACCCTTTAACTTGCCAGGTGTATTTTCCACCTCAAGTTATATATTCTGTTCCTCCTCTTTTAAGGACTTAGAACGCCGTTTCAGCTCATTAATAACAGTCCACTGTGATACTTGCATTCTCAAGCAAAGGTTAAACTCTTTCTTGGATATTCTTTCAAATTCCCTTTTCACCTTTCCCTAGAGATTAAATTTAGTGCTGTAATGCTGCTGAAGACCTTCACGTTCTGTGTATATGATGGTAGATGTTTTAATTTATCAAATAATTTTATAACTCTTCCGAGTTAGCCATCTCATATTAAAAAGTGACATATGACCTTTTTTTTTTTTATGACCTTATTTTTGATAATGCATAGAGCAGCTATTGAAGAGCATTTTAAAACCAAATGTGGCAAACAAGGAGACTTTTTATTAAGCTTATCAATGTTGGGTAAAATGTATGAAAGAGAATACATACAGTAAAATGACCCAATTAATCTTGGAAAGCAATGTTGACAGTTTTTAGGCAATGTTAAGTTGATTTAACAATACGCTTATTGCATAATTGTACTTCCCAGGTGGTGCTCGTGGTTAAGACCCACCTGCCAATGCAGGAGACGTAAGAAAGATGTGTTCGATCCCTGGGTCAGGAAGATCTTCTAGAGGAGGGCACAACACCCACTCCAGCATTCTTGCCTGGAGAATCCCATGGACAGGGTACCCTGGCGGGCTACAGTCCATGGGATCACAAAGAGTCGGACACAGCTGAAGCAATTAGCACGCATGCAAGCCTTGCATAATTACTAGCACGCAAGCATTGTGTGATTGTCTGTAATGGGAATCATCAATAGAATAGAACCAATAAAGGCAGCTGAGAACCAATAAAGGTCTTGAAGTTGGCAAGACCTGAAGCAGAAGTTTGTGTAAAATTATATGCTGTGTCAGATTTGAAATTTTTATTAGCATTGGTAGCTCAACTATAATAAGTTTCATATATGATCTTAAGGAAATCATCAGTTTATTTAGACCTTGTACTGCTGATCCCAATTATGAGGAACACATTTTTATACACGTCGTGTAGTTTGCACGGCTTTAAAGAGGAAACTGAGCTAAAGCGAAAGGCACAAGTGCGCAGCAGTGAATGCCTTTGTAGAGTCAGAGCCTCATGTTGATTGACAGTCTGAAACTTGCATGGGAAACAGCTGAGTTGTAGTTTCGTTGAGACGGTACCTTGAGCCGTTCCCTTGGCTAGCTGCCGCCGTGCTCTGCTTTGCATCTTCTTTGGCCAGCCTGTGCTTTGTAATGCATTGAGCATGTAGAAATTAAGGGGGTTTTGCTCTTAACTTTGGTAGTTCAGAAATGGGGCACAGAGGAAGTTGCTGCTTGGCTGGATCTGCTCAATTTGGGAGAGTACAAAGAAATCTTCATCCGTCATGACATCAGAGGGGCTGAACTCTTGCATCTGGAAAGGCGAGATCTTAAGGTATTTCCTTTGTGCTACTCTTCTGCTCTTAAATTTTTTTCTTGCAAAACAGACTCCTTTCTCCTGCACCCTTCAGTTCTATGCTTGCAGCTTGGCTCATGTTATGCGTATGTAATCTGTATAATATGCATTGTCCTGTGGCCTGAGTTCCTTATATGCTTTTGAAAAGAGAAAGTCAGCAATATTTTTCTGTAAGAATCATTGTCTGACAGTTATAGCTAAAGCTTAGCATGAACTTAGTAATTTTTCTCTGTGTCTGTTGGCATGGCTGTGCTAATATTTCCAAATGGATCATGTTTCCATCAGTTCATTTTCTTGGATCAACATGAAAGGTGATATTTGTTGCTTAAAATGACTGAAAATATCTACTAAAAGGTTCAAACAACTAAAAATTCATTCAAAATACCAAGAACAAAGCCTTCCTAATATAGAGAACTAGATGAGAGACTTACAGCAGTGGCTACGTAGACTTCTACTATTTGGTTGTGTTTCTAAATTGACCTTTCAGAGGTTACGTGAACATCTAGACAAATTCAAATTTCCTTTCCATGGCTTATTATTGAAATTGTATTCTTCCCCAAAATAAGCGTATTTTCCTTTATAGTGAATGAAATAAAAATTATGCCTTGTTTTTGCTAGAGAGCATCTCAAAACTTATTTGTCTCTTATGACAGGAAAGAAAAATTATGAATTCATGGTCTGCAGCAATTCCCTTTTCTTCTTTGAGAGGACCCTCAACCACAGAAATGGCCAAAGTACCATATTCTGTCCCAGGGTTAAAAGTAGCATTCTCTCATGTTATATTTTCTTGCCACATACTGCCATTTACAAATTCCAAGACTGATTCATTAAGTCAGCGATAAAGCCTTCAACATTTGATGGATTGATTCCTTTCCTATACACCTGGTTCTAAAATGCATAAAATTATGAGACAGTAAATGCCTAATAAATTCATGAACAGTTGTGCCTTTATCTAAAAACATGTTAGTAGAGACCTCTAAACCCAAATGGGTAATATAAAGTATATTATACCTAAACATTGGCACTTCCTGGGTGGCGCTAGTGGTAAAGAACCCACTTGCTAATGCAGGAGATGTAAGAGACCTGGGTTCGATCCCTGGGTCAGAAGATCCCCTGGAGGAGGGCATGACGACTCACTCCAGTGTTTTTGCCTGGAGAATCCCATGGACAGAGGAGCCTGGTGGGTTACAGTCCATAAGGTCACAAAAAGTCAGACAGGACTGAATTGGTTTAGCATGCACGCACACACACATAACTAAACGTTATACCTAAAGACATATACCTAGACAATTTTAGCCATAATAATAATAAAATAATAGATTAACTAATTACCTTAGTTGAAAGTCCCAAATCTGGAACATAGCAAAATATATAAAATATATAGTATTAGAGTGAAAATTGACTTCAGCACTTGAAATGAATACACCAAAAAGTAAATGTAGAAGACCATTGCATGTAACATATTTGTGTAGCTTCTGATATCCTCAACAGGCAGAAATATTTATTGAATAGCTGGTGATGAATGGGCCCCCCTGGTGGCTCAGAGGGTAAAGAATCTGCCTGCAAAACAGAAGACCCAGGTTCGATCCCTGGGTTGGGAAGGTCCCCTGGAGGAGGAATTGGCAACCCATTCCAGTATTCTTGCCTGGAGAATCCCATGGACAGAGGAGCCTGGCAGGCTGCAGTCCATAGGGTTGCAAAGAGTCAGGCATATGTGAGCGACTAACACATACGTATGTACATATTGATGAATGTATTATTCTCTTCTCTAGGTAGCATCTACCCTCTAGAAGCTTGCATTTCACTTGCCATGAATAAGCATACATTCAAGGAAAAGACTTTGTCTGTATATAATATATGTATTATAAACATATGCAAATGTACATAAACATACACATGCACACAATGAGTTATAATATTTGCTGAACAAAAAAACAAAGTTCACATATAAAAGTTAAAGTTAGACTGATAGAACCCGGCTGGGAAAAACAATGAGTACAAAGGAGATGATTAAGAATTATGTTAGTAAAATTTTTATTTAGCATGAGACTTTTTTGTTTTTATTTTTAAGGCAAATGACGTTCTTTTCCTTAAAACTTTGCTTTCAGAAATTTGTATTGACATAGTCCGTTTTAACTCTTTTGGTTCTAAAACTAGAGTATAGGGCAATGGGAAGGGTAGTAATTTTACAGTCTTCAGTGGAACAAAACCAGGTTAGAAATGAGCTCACCTTGTTCTCTGTCATTGGAGCTTAAAGAGAGAGCAAACCCTTCAGAGGAAAGTCTCTGAATGTTGATGAAGGGTTATCTACTCCCTAGGCAACCATATCCATTTCCATTATTTCAGATACTGTCCATGGATATATTGTTGGTTCACACGGTTCTACTTCTAGCCCTGGCCTCGTTTGTAAACTCTCGGATCATATCACCATGTCTGCTTGCCACTAGGCCATGACACAGACTGTCAGTCTTAAAGTGTCCACAACCAAACTTTTGCTGTCCTGTCCTACTCCTATTCTGCCCCTTCTCCTGTGGTCTGTTATCTTAGCGACTCAGGGACCGGAGCCAGAGAAACCCAGGGTCATATTTAGCATCTTCCTCTTCCTTATCCTTCCCCTCTGACTCATTAAACCATCACAAAGTAGTTTGATTTTAATCTCCATTTATTTATCTTTCTCCTTTCTCCTTTCCACAATCCTTCCTCTTGCCTTGTGTAACATCAGTAGCTTCCTCACTGGCCTACCCATTGATAGTCTTGCCCTCTCATCTATTATCATTGCAACTAGAATGATGTTTTGTGTGTGTGTGTTTGTGTATATGTGTTAGTCGCTCAGTCTTGTCTGCCTCTTTGTAACCCCATGGAGTATAGCCCACCAGGCTCCTCTGTCTGTGGAATTCTCCAGGCAAGAATACTAGAGTGGGTTGCCATTCCCTTCTCCATTGGATTTTCCCAACCCAGGGATTGAACCCAGGTCTCCCACACTGCAGGCAGATTCTTTACCATCTGAGCCACCAGGGAAGCCCAGAGTGATGCTTTTAATAACATCAGGTATATCACTCTTCTGATTAAAACCTTTTGGTGGCTTCCCATTTCAATTCCAATAAAGACTCAGCATCTATGGGACACCTACAAAGTTCTGCCTATGTATTCAACCTGCTGTGGGGTCACTGACCCTTTGGGGCTATACTCTTCCAATCTGGCCGTGCTTCATTTATTTAAAAATATGAAACTCTCGCATCAGGGGTGTACCCTCTGAAGGTATGCTTCTTCCCTACCTGCCACGTGGCTAGCTGCTGCCCAGATCTTGGCTCAGGTGTTACTTCGTTATCACCAGGCAACCGGAGATAGCAATGTGACAGCGTAAAGGTGGGAAAGGGAAGATATTTCTAATGTGCTGTAACAAACAGACCGATTGCAGTATTTTCTCTCCTGGAGACGGTAGAAAACAGTGAGGGGCACCAAAGAAAGTAGGGCTTCTCAGGTGGCACAGTGGTAAAGAATCTGCCTGCCAATGCAGGAGACACGAGAGACTCGTGTTCGATCCCTGGATTGGGAAGATCCCTTGGAGTAGGAAATGACAACCCACTCTAGTATTCTTTTCTGAAAAAATCCCATGGACAGAGGAGCCTGGTGGGCTGTGACCCCACAGCAGGTCCAGGTCTCAAGAGTCAGACATGACCGAGCGACTGAGTGCACATATGCACACCCCCCAAATAAAGTGGTAAAGACACGGGGGGGGTTGTTTGGTTGGTGTTTTGTTTTCTCCATTTGGAAAGTTGTTTATGTGTGGGCCGAAGGATAACAGTAGCCCCAAAGCATGCCTCTGCAAAGTTAAAGCTTGTCTTCCAAAGAAACAAAAAGTCAACACTAATGAATATGATATCATGGCATAACTCTATCACAGCCTGATTCCTAGAAGACATGAATGTGTTTAACTCAAACTAAAGAAAATATAGCTAAGAAGTTAGTGTAACTCTAGGGAAAACATTCATCTGGTGACTCCAAAAATAATAATCATGAGTAGAGTCTGCTTCTCTCAAAGAAGCTTTTATTCTTGAGAATATAATATGCCTATGGCCTAAAATAAAATGTTTGATATTAAATATCTTTCTTAATCAGATAACTACATTATCATAAAGTATAAAGAGTACTTAACTATTCCACTCAAATCAAATGCATCTACATTTCCATCTTCCTTTAAAGTTTGGCCTTGCTTTTAAGTTTGCTGTTTTAGTACACTCAGGAGTTAGATAGTTGCCTTAAGACTAGTTTTGGATGACCTGGTGTCAATGAGCAGATACTTTCAGGATCAGTTAAATATTGTAAAAACATTACCCTGAAATTATCTCAAGCTTGAAAAGAGCACTGACTGTGGAAAGATCATTTTCCAGAAAGATGCAGAATCCTCAGTAGCAGTGGTGCTACAGAATTCAGAAAGCTCATAAAGCATATGGGGGAGGTTGAGAGAACGTGTGTGTGTGTGTGTGTCAGACAAATAATCTTGTGATACCTTATAATCCTACTTTCAAGACTGCTTTGCAAATCATCTTTTTACTTATTTTCAGATATTCCACACTCTCTGTTTTGTGAAGAAGTTGACTTCACATACTGGCAAATTCATTATGGCCGTTGAGCTTAAGGAAGCTATCGGGAGTGGAGATCTTCGCCGTCTGTTTAGTTTTTCAGACAGCAGATATTATGGCTGTCTTGAATGCATCTCCTTTATCCATGCAACAAGCATGCATTTGCCAAGTGCCTGCTCTGTGCTGCACACTCAGCAGTCACCATTCATTTCTGAAAACTGTTAGGTTGGCCACAAAGATCATTTGGGTTTTTCCATAACATCGTATGGATGTTTCCATCAATGTTACAGGAAAAACCCAAATGAGCTTTGTGGCCAACCCAATAAATCTTGGCTTCTTGGTTCTTTTCAGGAAGCTGGGTCTTTAGAAAACAAGAGGTATTCTGAGGGAAAGGAGTCAAAAGTGTTTTGAGGAAAAACATCAACTCATATATACCTATGTTTATGTGATTTTTTTTTTACACTTATAAAATATAAAAATTATTTAAATATTTCACACACATCAAAGACTCTAAATGCAAGTGCAAAAGGGTTTAACATTCCACATGTAGGTCGTACTACATGTAATTTCTACTAGAAATTACTAGAAACTACTAGAGTAATTTCTTGAGGAGCAGGACTTATTTGTAAGTTTAATATTTTAGCAAGGAAATGTGTAGTTGTTTGAAGACTACGAAATTTATTTGAGTAAATTTTGTGGGTACCCTGGTGTCACATGTCACTTCTCTCAGAGATTCCAAAGGACCTCTGTTTTTCTAAATCAAAAAAGAAGAAAAAGGAGAAACTAATTTTGACTGTTGAAGAATTGCCCTTGTGTGTAACCTATGAGAATGTTGCATTTAAGAGTTTGTGTAAAATGTGTTTTTTTTAATGGTTGGTAATTTTTTAATTTCAGGATTTTTTGGTTTTATAAACTTACTTTTCTAACTTTTACTTTGTAAATCATTGAATCTAAGATGAATGAACTGAATGCTAACTACATTTTATTAGCTAGCTAAATATTTAACCATCAGTTTTCTCTTATCAGTTAACTTCTTTCTCTTTCTTTTTACCTTTTTTCCCCTTTTTCTTTAGGACCTGGGGATACCGAAAGTGGGTCATGTGAAGCGAATTCTCCAGGGAATTAAAGAGCTTGAAAGGAGCACCCTCCAGCCTGAGGTGTAATCATACTGGTGCTATTCCTTGGAAGGAAGGTCATCGCTACTTAATACAAAGTCCTTGGGAGCCAATGGCTGTTCTTGTAGTTTTCTGCCTAGATGAGTAAGCACCGCTAAGACACCTCTATGGCTTAATATTTTGCTATGGGTGAAAATTTTGATTTGAAGTATTAGAAAATATTTTTGTGCCAAAAAAAAAAATACATTCCGCGAAACCATTTTCTTATTGTGCAAACCTGACATGTTCAAATATGCTCATATTAGTAAAAAGGTAGGAGGAATCGGAGACAACTGCATTGTCCAAAAGGTGGAACTGCAGAATGTTTACTTTCCTTTAATCTGGTCAGGTGGGATTTTCTTATCGCACAGCCGCATAAAAATATGTGGCTGAAACTTACTGGGTTTCACTGTTAGAGGCATTGGCTTCTTTCCTCAAATCACTGGCTAGAAGACTAAGATGTCAGTTAAGTGGTTGTTTTGAATTGGTATCATTTCAGATTTCTAGCTCTCAGTGGTCAGAGAATATGGTTAAAATCCCTCAAACACTATGAATGAATGCAAATCTTAATGCACGATGTTGCTGCCTGAATTGTTTTTTTTGTTTCTTGCATGTCACATTTAATATGTAACACTTAGCTTTAATGTCAGTTTTAATGGAATTTAATTTATTATTACCTAAGTACCTTTTGGTTGGCTAAAGGCACTTTTCTGTTCTTTGATGTGGAATTTTGCATATTCTATATCTAAGAATCTGTGAACATGTGTCTGGGCCCCAATCAACAAATGATATATATCTTATGCAAGCCAATTTTATATCAGTCTGTCATAAACAGCAGGTGTGCACATTAAGAAAATTCTCTGTATATTTTCATAAAATTATATGTTCTGTTGTCTTAAGATAACTTAGTATAGCTCTCCAAACCAAAATTCTCACACTCTGTTTTTCATTTCAATTTAAAATTTATTTAATACTGTGTTTGCATCTATAATATAGCAGACTGTTGACAACCAGGAATTTCCCCAGTGTCTCAAACTAGGATCCGTATACAGACTGGCCGCCAGAGTCATTCGTTTGCTAAAGAGACAACTGACAGAAACTTCCCAATGAAAGAGATTTAAACTTTTTCTTGAGGGCTTTCTATTATTATATCTCACTTAATTCTTATATCCTGTCAGGCAGATATTATTTCCTTTTTATAAACCATTGTTTACACTTCAGTGTAGTGCATGAGAAGTTAACATTTCTGTGATCAAAATCTTTGAAAGCCAAAGGCATACCTATCAAAAAGTCAGAAAAATGTCCTCAAATAAATTTACTTTAGACATCATATACTAAAAAGTTCATTATAGTATTTAAAAATCTTCTATATAAGAGAATTAAACAGGATACTGACCCAGTGGTGACAGTTTTCATAAAGTAGCCTTCTAGGTAGGTGCTCTAAAGACATACATATACACATAAATATTTAGACACATATATATGTACACATACACGTATACATTTATATGTACATTCACACTTGCATACGTGTAATCTAAAATATACTTTCATTGATATTTTCTAGACTTTTTTGCCAAATGCTTAAAGAGAAATATTGATGGGAAAACATTTAAAATGAGCTATTGTCAGACATATAATTTAATTGTATCAAAAGGGTTTACATATTTGACACTTTATTCTTATTTATGATTTGAGTATTTACTAGTAAAAGTCACAGTTTGGATATCTTAAAAATAAATGAACTCAGGCTCCTGACCAAATTTGTCTGACTATATATTTTACCTAAGTTGTGAATAAATGGGAAATTTTCCACATTGTATCAGGTAGCTTAAAAGAGCCAAGAGCTACTCACTTGGTAGTTTTAACATTATCCACACTTAGGAAGTCAGAAGTCATCTCCAGTTCCTTTCAGAGTCATCCACACTGGAAAGGGCCCTCGTCACTTCCCTGTGAAATCAGGCAGGCCAGATTCTCTGAACTCTGCTTAGATCAGAAATTCTTGTCCACGCACACACAGAGAAAGGAAAGGTGGAGACAAGGAGGCAAGAGATCCTAGAAAAGAATGCATTAATATGAAAAACCTTTATTGGTTTTTCACTCTCCCCAAATTCTTCTTTGCCAATAGAAAAGATTCTCAGGCTATCACTTGTTCAGAGTTTAAGCGTAAGATGTCAATGACTGAGTTTTTTATTTGATGTTGCTCTTTCACCCTCACCCTGGAGAAGCGAATGGCAGCCCACTCCAGTGTCCTTGCCTGGAGAATTCCATGGACCAAGGAGCCTGCTGGGGCTACAGTCCATGGGGTTGCAAGAAAGTTAGACACGACTGAACGACTAACACTTTTCACTCTTGAGTAACATCTCTTACGTGTACCGACCCTCACTAAACAGAATCTTTAGCTAGAATTTTCCTGCGTGTGGCTTTTGGATGAGGGAAATTCTTTTTTTTTTTTTTTTTTTATTTTTATTAGGTGGAGGCTAATTACTTTACAGTATTGTAGTGGTTTTTGCCATACACTGACATGAAATTCTTTAGAAATGACGAGACTGATCTTTAGGGTTAAATAAGAGCACTTTTCACGCTATGAACCATCCATGCGTGGCTCTGTAGGACCCAGAGGCCTTCACCCTCACCTGCTTGTCAGGATGGTGCCCTCAGAGCCTCGGGAGGCCACGGTCCAGCCTCACAGAGGAACCAGCTTCTGTGGTCGACGGGGTTACAGCAAGGCTAGGAGGAGCTTCTCCATGAGAGCTGATCGGAGCCCTGGGGAGTGCGGAGGGGCTCCGTGCCTGGGTCCACACAAAAGCTGAAGTGAGACGCTCAAGCCGGAGCCTGGCTTGGGGGCTACAGTTGTGGCCTTTCCTCCCCTCAGGCTCTCCCACACATGGGTAATCTCGGAGCGCTGGAGGAGACTCACAGCCAACCTCCCAACACTCACTTCCTTTCATGTTCCCTCACTTTCCTCATTTTCCTGAGGAACAACTGACTTTTCAAGAAAGACAGGGACACGGTCAGACCTGAATAAAATTTCCAAGTATTCATTTTCACTCATCCATCCATCCTTCTATGTCACTTTCTGAGTTTCATTCTTAAACTGCCTGGCTTCCCATCTTTCAGGACTTCCCTGGTGGCTCAGATGGTAAAAGTGTCTGCCTGCAATGCGGGAGACCTGGGTTCGATCCCTGGGTCGGGAAGATCCCCTGGAGAAGGAAACGGCAACCCACTCCAGTATTCTTGCCTGGAAAATCCCAGGACGGAGGAGCCTGGCGGGCTACAGTCCATGCGGTCGCAAAGAGTCGGACACGACTGAGCGACTTCACTTTCACTTTCCCGTCTTTCCACATGCCCAGTGCAGAGAAGGTTACTCACAGTCTCACTGCCATGTACTACCCTTTCCTCTTCAGCTATCCCACTGCAAAAGGGCTCCTTTTGTCTCACCCCACTTTTGCCCCCCCAGGCTTCCCTGGTGGTTCAGTGGTAAAGAATCTGCCCGCCGATGCAGAAATGCGTGCTAAGTCACTGCAGTCACATCCGACTCTTCATGACCCCATGGACTGTAGCCCACCAGGCTCCTCTGCCCATGGGACTCTCCAGGCAAGAACACTGGAGTGGGTTGCCATGCCCCTCCTCCAGGGGATCTTCCCGACCCAGAGATCAAACTCGCATCTCTTGCGGCTCCTGCATTGCAGGAGGATTCTTTATCACTAAGCCATCGGGAACGTGGGTTCAATCCCTGGGTTGGGAAGATCCCCTGGAGGAGGAAATGGCAACCCTCCAGTATTCTTGCCTGGAGAATCTCACGAGCAGCAGAACCTGACAGGCTACGCAGTCCATGGGGTTGCAAAGAGTCAGATACTACTGAGTAACCAAGCATGAGCACCTTTGCCCCCTCGTTGTGGGTCATCTAGCCAAGTGTTATTAGGAAGAAAACAATTTAAATTTTATAGTTTTCATTTAATGGAAGGAGACTTACTCATCTAAATGAATTGATGGATTAGAGCATTTGGGGACCATGATGTCATTGCTCTGGTGGAGAAGAGGTCCGTGAATGTCCAAGATCCATGCTGTCCTGCATTGTAGCCGCTAGCTCCATGTGGCTATTTAAAGTTAATTTAAGTAGAAATTTACTTTCTCACCTGTCCTAGCCACAGTTCAAGTGCTCAGTAACCATAGTAGACGATTCAGATGTTGAATACTTCCATCATTGCAAAAATTTTACTGGGTAATGTTGCACTACAATCATTGCTACTCAAAATGTGGTCCATGGACCAGTGGCATCCTGTCACCTGGGAGCTTAGAGAAGTGCAGAATCTCAGTCCACTCCGTCCCTACTGAGCCAAAGTCTTCCTTTTACTAAGATTTGTGTAGTGTTAGTACTGGCCTAAATAGTTTTATCTCTTCTAGATGAGTGGGATCTGAGGTCTTCAAAGGTGCTTAGAATAACTGACTGTCCAACCCACCCTTTCCCATCCCTTCTCCAACTAATCGCAGAAATGAGCTGAAACTCATTCATCACCCAGCTGAGTTTCCCTCTCAATCCTTATTCCTAATTCAGTTTCTAGATGAGCCCTGCCTACCCAGTATATATTTTGGTAACCAAGGTGGCTCACAGATACTGGCCGACACAGCTGACCTCACTCTAGGCCCTCACATCTAAGTCACTGACAGTCTGCATTTGCTCGTGTGACATTCTCATTTGTTCACAACTTAAACCACAGGGAACATTTCAGAACAATATGTACTGAGATAAGGAAAGACCGGGTCAGTCTCCCGCAACTTGTACTTTTCACTTTGTCTTATCAGTAGTTTATCCTATTGACATTGTTCATGCTTGAGGACACATAGCAACACACACACATTAAATGAATCATTAGGCATGCAAAAAAAAAAAAAAGAAAAGAGAGATCCAAAATGATTGCAAATAAAGTGAATATGTCATTAAAGCCCTCAAGGCATGTTTTGCTAGACTAAAATCTGGCTTTCTTATTATGCTACCTTATCTTGATTTTCAGGTAGTTAATAATTCTTTAAAAGAGTGCCTGAAAAATAATATATTCTTAACCCTCAAAATACAAATTATGTAATTCTATAATAAGGTCTTTCCCAGTGATATACAGTTAGTAAGCCTTTACTATTTACGTAATGATATAATTGACCAAAACATTACTGCCTAGAGATTCTTTACCTACCTTTAAAGAATAATGAGATCACTGCTTGAGTCTCCATAGAAGTTATTTGTAACAGGAATGGAGGAAGGAAATACTCATACAAAGCTATGACTTAAGAAATTAGAGCAGAAACCTCTCTACGTCATGTCTAAAGTAAATGATCTGGTTTGCCCAACAGGGTTGACAACATAGTGGACTTTTAATGTTGTACAGATGTGAATTCTTTAAAGATACTGCTTTTCATTAAGCTGTAAAAACATTACATCTCTCAACCTTGACATCTACGGTCCCTCCTGCTGCCCCCTTCCAAAATGAACTTAACCTTGAATGTTTCAAGTGCAGGTTGGACTGATGATCAAAGTGGCAGTTCTTTAAGTCAGCTGAAAAGAATGGGAAGTGAAGTCCTCAGTACTCAGTACTGGTGAGTGGAGTGGCTTCCCAAGTGGTTTCCAGAGCTGGGCTGCCATGTCTGTCCCCTCACTGCCCCTCGCCGGATGCCAGGGGGCCCAGGGCTTGTTTCTCTCTGCTACAGCATCTTCCCAGTGACTCCTGTATAGCGGTCTCTGTCTTAGATGGATAATATGTTGACTTTGCAATGGGATGCCTTCCTGAAGAAACAAGCAAAACTTTAGAAAGACAGTGATTGATTTTTATAATATGTAGAGCACTAATTTATATCTTTCTTATTGTTTTTTCTATTATTTTCTCCAAGTTTTGTTGAGAGATATTTCCGTTAGAATGGAAAAAGCTATGAAGGTTTGTCATTACAGAGAACAGAGAGAGAAATGATAGCTGGACTGTACCTATTTGTGTATTTCTTTCTGTTATTTTCAGGAGAATCTTAACACAGTAACCAAGGCTGTGTTAAACTCAGTAATGATAGGGACTTCACCAAAGGTCCAGTGGTTAAGACTTGTGCTTCCAATTCAGGGGGCATGGGTTCAATCCCTGGCCAGGGAACTAGGATCCTGCATGCTGCACAATGCGGCCAAAAAAAAAAAACTCAGTAATGGTGTTTAATAAAAACCCCATATTACTAATATAAGTGAATGAGTTAATTCTTCTATGTAATTAAGATTCTATTTACATGTATATATATCTTCTCTCTTAATTTTGTATGCACTTCCAAGTTTTAGTTGGAAAAATAGAAACCAAGCCACTACTTAAAAGTTATTAAAAAAAACTCCACATAAAATATTTCATTTTAGCTCTGAGTTACTCATTGTATAGAAATTTATGAATAGTCTGGATATTTCATAGAACTGCACTTCGAGAATAAATTAACCTAACCTAAAGGAACATATGGTAACTTTTTAAATGGAATAAAATGTTTCATACGCAGTTGATAAGGCTATTGAAGTAGGTCAATGAGGTTAGGTATACAAGCTAAAAAGGAAAACAAATATATTTTGTGGTCCTTACTGTTTGATTGCACTATTGTTTACCACAGCTTAGCCATATCTATTTCTATATTCTAAATATTAAGCTGATATATAGCTATAAGATTTCTTACAGTTCTGGTAACTGGTAGCTAGTGCTGTGAAAGGTTTTGGTGTTGTAATATTCCCAGTTTTGTGACTTATATATTGTATATTGAAGATGACTAATAAATTGGAGTAATATATTTATCTAGAGCTGGGAAAATATAATATTTTCAAATCTTCAAGTAAGTTGTATCAAATTTTTTCTTTCTCTTAAGTGAGATAAAAGTCTCACTTTTATGTTAACATGTCTATTTATACAACAGGTTTCACCTTTTACTGGTTTTATTAATTTTCATATTAAAATTTTTCTTATCTTTTTATACCAAAATAATGATCACGCTGGTGATTCAAACTTCCAAGATGTATTTTAGTTTGCAGGGCTTTTGGCAAACAAAATACTTAATAACAAAGCAGCTTTGTACATTTTGTGGCTTTGGGGGCAAGAATTTTGCCTTTGAAACTCTATGTGAGGCAGTGCTGATATCAACAAAGTGAATGATAGACAGTATTATTCATAATCATCAGCAGAAGGTTTTTGCAAGTTGTGTAAATCAGAGTGCATTTATTTATTATACCATGAAATTTAATCTTTATACAAAATGCATATTCTAGCTCTTTTCCTTGTTACTGCTGTTGCTTAGAGTGTAATAGCTCTGTTCATGTCTTACTTATGTACTTGAAGTACTCATTTCTGCCAAACAGATGCCCAGTTTTTTTCCTTGTAAAAAATGGTATTCTTTACCTTCCCAGACAATGGAAAAGTCATAGGGACTTTGTTAAAAAAATCATTTTCATGTTTAAAATAAATACAGAAAAAGGCGTAAATCAAAAAATGAAATCATCAAGATTAAGAACTTAATGCAACAAAGGGATTCATCATGCTGTATTTGCCCAATATACATTTAATCTTCAAGTCAGAACATCTTTTCTGTAGTAAACTTTTAACTTTTGTTGTGAAAGAGAGCTCAGTGATTATACTGCCAGTATAACACTTGAGGGCTTCCCCTGTGGCTCAGTGTGAAAGAATCCACCTGCAATGCAGGAGATGCAGGAGACGCAGGTTCAATGCTTGGGTCGGGAAGATCCCCGGGAGGAGGGCATGGCAACCCACTCCAGTATTCTTGCCTGGAGAATCCCATGGAGAGAGGAGCCTGGCGGGCTACGGTCCTTGTCCATGGAGTCGCAAAGAGTTGGACACGACTGAAGTGACTGAGCATGCAGGCGTTTGAATGAACATTCAGAATCTTGAACCCTCCACATCTCACATACTTCCAGCTCTTGATTTCAAAGTGTATGTTCTTAACAGGTTTGCATTTGACTCTGGGCTGCTTTAGTCAGAGTACCCATAAGCGATTATGGTTTGTCAGTTTGTTTCTGTCAGTTAAGTCAGTGAGATTCTAATTGAGTCTTGAATTATTTCTGTTTTCGAAATATTCTCGATTCAACTTTTTAAAAACCAAAAATTTGAAACTTAATAGCACAACAGCATACCACACAGAATAAAAATCACATTTTCAAGAAAAATGTCACGTACTAAAGAAATCACTTTCAGTCAGTTCAGTTCATTCGCTCAGTCGTGTCCGACTCTTTGCGACCCCATGAACCGCAGCACGCCAGGCCCCCCTGTCCATCACCAACTCCCGGAGTTTACTCAAACTCATGCCCATCGAGTCGGTGATGCCATCCAGCTATCTCATCCTCTGTCATCCCCTTCTCCTCCTGCCCCAATCCCTCCTAGCATCAGGGTCTTTTCCAATGAGTCAACTCTTTGCATGAGTTGGCCAAAGTATTGGAGTTTCAGCTTCAGCATCAGTCCTTCCAATGAATACCCTTAATAAGCCCTAAATTCAACTGCCATATTGCTTTACAGTATAAGCGGTAGATGAATTGTAAACTGTTTAAGAAATGTAGAAAATTAAGAATTTAACTCAAAAGAGTTTTATATTAATTTTACTGTTGCACAATCAATTATTGAAGGCAGGAAAGAAGAAAATATATGAGAAACATTCTATGGAAATTAAAGGATAAAGGAGCTTGGCAATTTGGGAGAGTTTTG